AGTGCCCAGGAGCTCACCCGGCACTGCCAACAGGGGATGGATGCACAGACACCCAAATCCTGCTGTTGGTGCAGAACCAGCTGCATTTCCAGGGCACTGGAGCCCATCCAGGAAGGCAGCTGGATGTGTGCTGTCTGTGGGCCGTTCGGGGGCCTCACCACCGGCAGAACCATTTTGGGCAGGGTGGAGGCAGCTCTCGTGCAGAGTTCAGTCCTGGCACACGTAAGGATTCCCCCCAGGACTGGGGATGGGTGCCTGCAGTGACCTGCCATGGAGGGCAGATGCTCAGGGACGTGTCGGCCCCTGGCAGGCACCGCGAGGGCAATCACTGCAGAGCACAGGATGTGCTGGAAACATGCACTGGGGCTTTCTTTCCCTCAAAGAAATTTGCTCACTTCCTCATAAAGTGGCATCTACTGCCTGTCCCAGAGCAGGGATGCCGGTGACGAAAGCCTGTTCCAGACCCACCTTGGGTGTGGAAGTGCCCAGGCCTGGGATGAGTCCTGGGTAGGAGCACAGGGGACAGGCTGGACTGAGCAGGTTTTTAGCTCATCTGTCATTCTTCCCACCAGCCCCCTTGGCAGCTGGAGCAGCTGTACCAGGGCACTGTGCCCACACTGGGGCTGTCAGGACACCCTTCTGCCAGGACATCCTCACCCCTGATGGCAGCCAGAACTCTGGTGTGCACAGGTTTCTGCAGCAGGAAAAGCTGCCGAGCAGCCAGGGAGGAAGGCTGGCTCTGGGCTGTTTGATGGCTGGGGCACAGCTCTGTGTTCTTGCTGACTTCTGCCAGAAGTGTGTGACTGAGGAGATCTGCTGCCCCCTCCCCTTCCATCCAGACAGGATGTTTCATTCAGGCTCCTGTCTTTTTTGTGTGGGTGAGTCAAAGATGTTGATTTGGGGCTTTGAGTGTCACTGTAAGGTGGGTCTCAGCAAGGGCAGTTCCACCATGGATCCCAATCCAGCACTCTGAGCCTGTAGGCCAAGGTAGGAGGGGAAAAGTCAAAATGTGAACGGTCACCTCTCTAATTCCACATCCCAATTAGCAAGTTGTGGAGCTGCGAGCAGGGCTTTACCAGGGACCCTGATGGTACTTCCAATAAAACCACAGCACTGTGGAAAACCTTAAGGCCAGAGTCCATGTAAAGAGAATTCCCTTCCTACTGCACTTCCCATCTGAGCACTGCTGTTCCCTGTTCTGTGGGTGCAGGGCTTCCAAACACCCCCTGCTCCAAGCTCTTAAAAACATAAACCTCAAGCAAGAAGACAACTCGATCACTTAAAACTTTGGGGTTTTTTTTTCCAGTTTTTATTGAGTGAAAATGTCAAACCTTGCATCAGTCATGCAAAAAAAAAAAAAAATCAAATAAATAAAACACATATATTAAATTTCTAATAGCACTAAATTCAAGTGGAAAAATATTCAGTTCTTAATAACGCAGGTGCTGAAGAGACCAGATTCAAGTAAATCAGAGCACACCATCCTGTTTAGGGTGTTTTTTTTCACTTTCTGCATTTTTGTCTCAAAACCTATATATATATCTATATATCTATATATATGTATATACATATAGATATATACACACACACATATATATGTGCATACATATTATTTTTATATTTATATATATACACATACATATTTATAAAACATTAAAAAGAGCATTGGTGGTTCAAGCATTTATTTCCCCCCCCTCCCCCACGGAAAGAAAAAAAAAAAACCAACAACAAAACAAAAAAAATTACACATTTAAAATTCAAAATGAGCTAGCAATGGCTTATAGTCCTAGTGTGCAATATGGATATTACAAAAGGCTAGAATCCTCCCTCATTGTCTTTTTTTTTTTCATTTTTGTTTTTTTAAAGTTGTTTTTGTTTTTGTTTTTTTGCTACATTGGAAAATTTTTTTTAATTTTTTTTTTCTTTACAAAATTCCTTCCACGCAGACTTTAATCCAGTTGAGTTTGTGGCTAGAATGAACAATCTAGTCAATAGTTTTTGTTTCTTTTTTTTTTTTTTTTTGCTCTTCAGCAGTGAATGGTAGCAGAATCAGGAGGGTCCATCTCAAGGTTTATTTTGTTTGGTTTTTTTATCTTGTTTTGGACAGAACAGTTCCGTTTCCTCTCTCCTCTTTCCCCTCCTCACAGAGTCAGTTGAATCTCCCTCTCTTTCTCTGGTCATTCTTTAAGCACATTATTTCAACAGCACTGACAGTCCCACTGATATGAGAGCTCGGAGTGACAAACGCCTGCTCTGACGGGGTCCTTGGGCTGCTGAGGCCCTGGGTCAGAAAAGCACTTAAGCTCAGGCTTAAACCTGGGCCCGCTCAGAGTCATCTGCTTAAGGGTTTTGCTGAATTAAAGCCTGGACATGGCAGAATAAAAAGTCGGGTTTAACCTTGTTGACTTGTTGTTGTTGTTGTTGCGAACAGAGACAGTGTAAGAGTTACAGGAGCAGGAGGAGGATGCTCTGGGGCCGGCCCGGCCGGTGGCCACTGTCCTGCCAGGGCACCTGACCCTGCCCAGGGGTCACCTGGAGCAGCAGCCCGGGGGGGAAAGAACTCTTGTTCCCTGTGCCAGCTCCCGGAGAAAGGGGATAGAACTTTGGGAGAAGGGCTGAGATGTCAGGGAGAAGTAAGGGCGCCTTGGGGGAGAAAATGGTGTGCATAGATAAACACAGGCCCTTCTGGCACGTTGGGCCCCACAGAAGGACGTGTGACACGGGGCCCATCCCGGCGGATCCCAGCCCGCTCCTGCCCCCGGGATGTGTCCCGGCCAGTGCCAGGCAGAGCTGCTGGACACGTCACCCCCTCTCTCCACACACTTCTGCTTTCCTGCTTTCCCCACTGCTGTGCAGTGACTCCTGGAGTCTGGTGAGAGGGGAGGGGTTCAATGCTGTGTCCCAGTGCAGGTTCCCAGCTCCGGGCAGCAGGGACAGGGCCCGACTGTCCCCAGGGACACGGGTGGCCCAAGGGAGCCCCGCGCTGGCCCTGGCACCGGGCAGGGCTCGGTGCTGCTCCCACAGTCACTGACAGACATCCTGTGTTTCAGTGGTACAAAATCATCACATCTGCTTTGCCAGATGTGGCTTTGTGTTACATCCAAGGATTCCTCCTGGAGCCCATCACCATCCTATCTAAGTATTGGACATGGGGAAAATGTACAAGTACAGAACCTGCAGCAAATGCTGGTAAAGTAAAATATTTTTCTGCCCCATCCCATTTTGAGAAATTCCAGGGCATCATTCCATCACTCTGCCCCAGGAACATGAGCTTCATTCTATTCAGGAATCAGGTTGTGCTAGGAAACACACAGCTGAGGGCAGGGGATATACCAAACAAAACAAAAACAAACAAACAAAAAAAAACCCCTATAAAAATAAAAGCCACACAAATAGCTGATAGAGGAAAAGAACTCCAAAGAATTAAATAAACTACAAACTAGTAATAACAATATTTCATTTGTTTTTGTTTTTTCTTTTTTTTTTTTTCATTTGTTTCATCTCTACAAAATTCAAGTTAGAATTCGGAACCGTGCAGCTCCGGTCAGTGCTGGGAGTGTCAAGTCAGCCTCAAACCGCAGCGTTAAGGCCCCCCCTCCCCTGCCACCCCCTACAAACAAACACTACATCGAAGGAGAGAGAAAAAAAAAAAAAAAAAAAAAAAAAAGGAGAAAAAAAAATTGCACACAATTAACCATATCTAAGGGCTATCCAGAAGGCAGGTGACCCCCCCTCATCCCCCTGGCATTGGTGGTTTCTCTTTTGTTCTATATATAGTAATAACCTTTACAGGAAAAATACTGTACAACTTTTTTTTTTTTTGCCTTTCCTTTTGAAACATTATCTGAACATTCTGTCCCCACATTTACACAGCTGAGCTGCTTGTTTATAAATCAGACCTGATCTGCACCAGTTCCTTAGGGAAATAATTAAAAAAAAAAAACCAAACAAAAAACCAATGCAACCTAAACTTCTTGAGGCCTTTATCTGTTCAGAGTGAAAACAAATCCCGGGGATCCCTTGGAGCTGAAGGGCTCATAGAGCTGAGGAGGGGAGAGGGCGCCTGCATGGTATGAGAAAAAATAATTAGGTTTGTTTTTTTTTAAAAAGGGACAAAGCTCAGACTAGGCTGGTATACTTAAAACTGGCACCGAAATAACTATTATCAGAATTAATCCATACTAGTCCTTCTGGAGCCCTGGTGTGTGGACAAGCCCTCTGAGGCTCAGGCAAGGATTTGGGGTCAAACGGCCACTGGCTCACCTGCTGGAGTCTGGGACAGTGTCCTGTAGTGTGTGTTCCCAGACCAGGCTAGGAAAGGAGAGCAGGGAAGAGCTTGGAGCAGGGACAAGCCCGAGCTGCTGGAGGTGGCAGGTGCAGCAGTGTAGGTGCATTTGCTCACGCAGTGCCCGAGCCCCGGCCCTCCCTGTCCGAGTTCTCCGCGTGGCCCCGGCCCTGCTCGGCTCCTCCCCAGCGCTGCCCTGGGGCTGCAGCGGCTCCGGGGGCTGCGGGACAGGCGTGTCCCCTCCTGCCCCAGGGCCGAGCAGGACACCCACCGCGGATCCCGGGCCTGTCCTGCCTCCTCCTGCCTCGGCAGCGCTGCCTTGGCCTCTCCCAGAGTCACCAGGGCTCCGTGTCTGTCCTGTCCTGGTGCCAGGCTGGGGACAGGGCTGGGCACGGGACATTCCTGTCCTGGTGCCAGCGCTCGGGGCAGAGTCCGGACGCTCCTCTGAGCACGGTGCTCCCTGTGGGACAGGGCAGCTCACAACCTCCTGAGATGGGGATACTGAAGCACCACAAAAACGCCTCACCCTCAGCAGAGAGGAAGCACCTGGGGGTTGGGATGAGATGGAACTGGATGGCGGATTAACCCCAGTCCTCCAGTGTGACAGACCCTGTGACTGCCCGCTGTGTTCTTCCCAGGTTACTTCAGCTAAATCCCTACAGGCAGAGCAGCAGGGATGAGGAGAGGTGTCCTACAGAGAAAGTGTAGACTGAGAAAGTTTTACAATATAAATAGCATTCAAAATTATTATCATTAACAGTAAAAAGGATCTGGAAGAACAGAGGAGTGTCCCGTTCCCACCCCTGCTCGTTCATTAATGCGTCCTCATTTATGTGACAATAAATACCCACTCCCACCCTGGCTGTCTGATGCCATTCATTTAATGCTGGAGAAAGAAGGGGGAGGGGTGGAGAGAGAGCACACCCCTCACCCCTCCTTCCCACCGGCAAAAGCTGAGCTACTTGTCTCTGTGACACCAATTCCTTGAATTTTATATATGTGTGTGTGTGCGTACATTATATATAGAGAGACACACACACAAATATATATCTCTAAAATTCATTACCTGTTGTTCCCACCCACCCCCCTCCAAGAAGTGGAGATTATTATTATTATCGTACAACTGAAAACATGGAAAAATAAAACCCAGAAAGAAAATTGGGGGGATAGAGCCCCACCCATAACAAAGGGTCCCCAGATGGGCACAGGCCCCACGCACCATGCAGGGAGCAGGGAAGAGCAGCGGGTACCCTCAAGGTTCATGTCCATATAAAGGGTATTTTTTGCTGCATCCTGCCCCCTGTTCCGGGATCTGTAGAATGGAGGAGGCAGCACCAGTCCTGCTGCAAACCGATCTCTTATGGGGCCTGGGGAGGAGCAGGGGTTTCCTTCCTTCCTCTCTCTCGTGTGTGTGGCACGGAGTTTGTTTTTCATTTGCCATCCCAATCTTTGTTCTCGCCTCACATAGGGTCCTCTTAGTAATTCTGTGTAAGAGCAAAACCAAACCACTGCCGTCGTCGTCTCTTGGATTAAGGAGAAGCTGCTGGAGCAGCGGTGGAGGCTGGGGCAGCAGCTGGAGCTGGAGCAGGAGCAGGAGCAGGAGCTGGGGCTGGAGTGAGGGCTGGCTCGCCCTGTGGCCTGGAAGCATCACCATGGTCTGTGGAAGAAGCAGCCTCCTCTGGTTCTCCATCTTCTTTAGTGGCCAGGCCTTCAGGGTCAGGCAGCGATTCTTCAGAATCCGTGTTCAGGTCTTCCTCTTCATCATCCTCCTCGTCGTCATCATCATCATCCTCCTCTTCGTCATCCTCCTCTTCTTCATTCATCTCCTCCTCGTCATCCTCTTCATCCTCTTGGGAAGAGTCATCCTCGTCCTCCACATCACCAGAGCCCGATGCCCCCGGGCCCCTCTCCTGGGCCGCGGTCCCAGCTCTGCTCGGGGACGGGCCCTCGGTGGCCTCTGCCTGTTTCTTGCTGAGGTCCAGGGAGTCGTTGAGGCCCACGCCGGCCGCGTTCTGCAGGAAGAAGAGGGAGCTGTTGTTGTCAGTGCTGAGGTTGAGGGAGCTGTCCAGGTTGATGGAAGAGTTCTGGATGTCATACTCGAGGGTGGAGTGGGCGAGGCCCTCGGGGCCAGGGGAGATGGCAGGCAGCTCCCCTCGCTCCTGCTTCTCATGCTTGCGCTTGTGCGAGTCCATCTGTGACATACCCACCACCGTGTGTTTGCAGCCAGGGTAGGTGCAGTGGAAGTGGGAGCACTTGAGTTTGTACTTGCAGTCGGGCACCTCGCAGTCCACGCTGGAGCTGAACTGGCAGAAGCCCGCGGCGCTGATGACGTCCTGCTTGCCGTGGTGCTTGCGGTGGGCTGTCACCTTGGTGCTGTCAGTGCAGCGGAAGCCGCAGCGCAGACAGTGGAAGTGTGTGCTATTGCCAGAGAACTGACAGTCTGGGAAGTTACAACTCAGCGAAGACTTGAAACGTTTGAAATCATCCAACACCAGGTTGTCGACGCGGTCGTGGTGCTGCGCGTGCTTGTACATGTGGGTGCGGCCGCAGAACTTGTAGCCGCAGTTCTCCCGCGTGCAGTGGTAGTGGGTCACCTTGAGGGAGAACTGGCAGCTGGAGTCCTTGCAGTCCTCGTAGAGGTCATAGCGCCGGAATCCCTCCAGCATCATCCCCTCATCCAGCATCTTGCGGGAGGACGCGGTCTTGCGGCGCTTCCCAAACGGGGACATGTCCTCGATGATCCAGAAGCGCTTCTTGGCCCCCGAGGCAGTTGGCATAGTGATGGTGTTCCCTGGGGAGAGAAAGCGAGAGCGGTGTTGCTGACAGCCAGGTCTCTGCATCTCCCAGCCATCCTGGCAAGCTCATCCCTCGAGCTCTGAGTGAGCCTGAGCTCCGGGATCCAGCACTGGCTGACGCCTGCTGGACATCACTTCCTCAATTTTCAGCATATCCTGCCTTGCCTCAGCTGGTGAAGCTGATCTTGTCCAAATGCTAACTGTTGCTTCTCTATTCGATACTCTCACAGTTTCTCCTGCTGCTTAATTAATCTCTAGTCCCGTTTTCCTCAAATGAGACTTGAATAGGGAGGAGCTGGCTTGTTCCAGTCCAAGGACTAAGGTGTGTTACTGCAGTTCTTCACCACTGGAGTGGTGAAGGAGTTTCAGGGTGCTAAAAGCCAGGATGTGTGCACTGTTCCACCTATCCAGGCTCTTGAAATCCACTACCATTGCCAAGGACAGGCAGGAAGTGAAGAAGATCCCATGCCTGATTAAAACTGCCCGGGGGGGAATTTATAGAAACAGGATGGACTTTGGCCAGGAGACTGCACCATCCCTCACTGTAATGAGCCTACATATTACAGTGAGTGCACTTAGAAAGACAGATGGACAGATGTTCAATGGGGCTAATTCTCATCATCACTAGCCAGTGGACTCTGAGAGAAAATACCAGTTCTGCAGCTTTCCCTTGGGTCTCAAAAATCACATGATGCCCCCAGTAAATAAAGAGCCCTCATCTGTCTTCCCTTTCATTCACAGGGCCAGTGCATCTGGCCAGTGCTCCCGTCCCCCAGGAACACAGTGACATCAAGGACTCGACCTCATTATATCTATTAACTTTTTTTCCTTCTCTGCTTGCTAGTTCCAGAATCAAACCACAATCTTCAGTATCAACATGCAGCGCAGACAAGGTTGGAGGCAAGAATTTCTCACCAGGTGCAGACCCGTGAGTGTAATTGGAAATTATAGCTTGCAACTAAAACATACTTCTTTTTTTTTTTGCCTCTCTTCTGCTGAAACTGCCATCCTCTTGAAAAGAGACACCATTTGTGACACTGAGTGCCTGGGGCCCGAGAACCCAGAGCAGCTTGAATTCTTGCCTGGGAGACTGAAGGAGCAGTCATCTGTTTGACTGGTGTAGAGTTATTCCCTTTCTGGCTGATGCACAGGTATTCCAGGAATAGTATTCCATACTAGTGCTGCCCTGCTGGCCCTTCAGTGACAACCCTTCAAGAGAAGGAGGTGACCACTGAGGGAACTCCCGGAGTTACCCTGGCACTGTAGGACACAAGTCACTGGAGTGGAGCAGGAACCTCCTCTCCCACATGGCCAGGCTAGAGAGGCTGCAGGATCAGCAAAGAACAGAAGGTTTCTCCACACCCATTTGTTCATGGCACTTGTGCTCAGGCTGCAGGTCAGGACACCAGCCTGGGGTTCCCAGGGCGAGCCCTCGGAGTGACAGGAGCTGGTGCAAACTGCACGCTGGGGATAACTCCGTGTCACTGCAGGCTGGGGATTGGCAGGCGCTTCACTACAGAATCTGGGACCAATTTACTCCCTGCTCCCCTCCTGAACATCTGGTACTGTAAAATCCAGTTCTCCACTCCCAGCCAACTCATGTGAGTGCATTTGTGCCTGGACAAGTTGCTGGTGTCCAGAGAAACTCCTTATTTTTAGAAAATTATAGCCAAACCATCAAGTCCTTTAGCATTAATTTGCATGAATGGTCATACTGTCTTCAGATGGGAATATGGGATACGTCATCTTTGGGGAAAGACTCTGGATGAGAAATAAGTAGAATTTAAATTGTACCTGTTTAAAACTCAATGTATCTACCCAGCTTTTACAACAGTTAAACAGATGTGCTTAAAACTTCAGTTAAAAAGCAATTCTGTTTCCTCATACAGGCAAAGTTTCGGAGTAAGGGCATGATGGAGAGAGATGACACCTTGGGGCACTCTCCTCTTTTGCCACCAGCCAACCTTCAGTCCCTGCACCCCATGGAACATTACAAGCCTCAATGGATGTGATCCCCAGCAAATCTCAGTGGTAAATGTTTGCCATGAGCTTGTCTCTCCAACTACCAAACTATACATAGGTAAAAACAAGAAACTTTGATTAGAGGAAGCACAGCACAAGGTTAAGATGTTTCAGGTTGCATGCAAATAGTTAAAAAAGAAGCAAAAATATAGTTTTTTGTGAATTTTGTTAATTGGCACACACTCCTCTGGACAGGGCAAGGATCCTTCTCCTGCCAAGTCCCATGAGAAAAACCCGTGAACTTCCAAGGGGAGTTGGTCCTCCAGCCACAGTCCCAACCATTGACCTCGGATTTAAACATTACTAAAACTGGCAGGAAGAATGACTGGGACATTTGTAGGCTGCCAGAAGCCTCTTAAGTGAGAACTTTAAGCATATGCCCTTAATTAACTAGAAAAGAGTTGGGAGTTGGGAGAAGAAGCCAAAACTGAGACACACCCTAAAAACCAATCCCAGCTGGAATGAGAATCCCCAGCCTGAGACATCTTGATCTTAGTCACACATGGGAAACATGGCAGCTTAAAACTAAAAAATCTCTCTGTGTTTTCTGCAGCTGGTTAGAGCAGATATAAATAACAGTGAGTGTGAGAAACAGCCCGAGCTGCCTGATGATGTCATGGCGTGACACCGCCTGGACTTCATGGGGAAGGCCCTGAGCTGTGGCTACATATGAAGCTCCCAAGATCAACAGAAACACAGGACCTGGTGCCTCCTCAGACATGGACCTGCCAAGATACACGTGCAGCAGAATATGGCAGGCACTGGGCTGGGTGGCCTGGAAGATCTAAGCAAGAATCCCAAGTCCCATTAATGCCACATGAGCCAAAGTTTGCTCTGTGGCCTCCTTGATGTTAGCAAGAGGCTGAAAGTGCATTTTAGCTGTGGATTTTGTTAGGTTTTTCTCATAGTTAGGAATTGGTGGGAATTGCTCTCAGGTACCTGAGTGTCTGTGAATGATTTGCTGTGGTTTTGGTTCCTTTAGCTGTGGTTACTGTGTGAGCAGGGAGAAGGAGCAGGCACGGGCAGGCCCCTGGGTAACGTTAGATAAGGCACAGAGCGACCTCGGCTGCTCTACTGACCCAAAGGTGCAGAGAAAAAAACGTGGGCAGGGTGAGTGGGGAAGGAGGTGGGCACAGGACACGGAGAGAAAGCAAAGAAGTGTTACCTGCTGCATCCTGCACTAAGGGAACGTCACTTTTTACTGGAGTTGGAGTGGCAATGATGGGCGAGAACCCAGCGGTGCTGGCGGCAGGCATGACAATGCCTCTGCTGGCTCCCAGAGTGGCACTGAGCAGGGAGTACGAGAGACAAGATGGAGAGAAGAGATAGGGCAGGGTGGGGAGGGGAGACCTAAGCAGGGCTTGTGAGAAAGATGGAGGCAGAGATGGTGGTGGAGGTTGTGGTGCAGTGTGGGCATCGTCGGCAGCAGCAGTAGCAGTAGAAGGAACCAGGCAGCCTGGAGAATGTGGAGAGAAAAAAAAAGCAGAAAAAAAAAAAGAAAAAAAAGAAAAAAAAAGAAAAAACACAACAAAACAAAAACCAAACCAAAACAAAAAACAAAAGAACTGAAATGAGAACCCAAGAGCAGAAGCAATATGATGAAAATGGAAAATACATTCACAAATGTATGAAACAGAACTGTAATGGAGAAGGAACAGAAGGTGAGGAACTGACAGCACCAGGAAGAGAAGGGTTGTCTCTGCAGGAAGTAGGGTGGCTTTATGGCATGGGGGAAGAGCCACAGGGTTTCAGGCAGGAATTCCTGATTGACTGGTCCTTGTTCACCTATGTGGTGCCTGCCTGTTCCAACTACCAGCTGTAAGGGTGCTCTCTCTGACATCTGGGGGGTGGAGCTGCTCCTGCCTGGAGAGCATTTCCTAGGAAATGTGACTTGGGCCACCACTGACACAGGAGAGAGTGCCAGGAACCACTGCCCACAGAACCCTCTGGAGAAGCCACAATGTCATGGGGCAACCACTGTGGGGACCCAGCAGTGACATGAGGCTGGCTGGGCCATGGGATGGCCTTCATCTGGTGTGGGAAAGAAAAGTAGGAAAATTAAAGCAAACTGAGGCAGCCTATGCAGAGTATCACACTTAACCTGGGAAGGACAGCTAAGAGATTCCTGAAACCATGAGATGATAACAGAACTCCAAACTGGCACCTGAGTCCTGACAAGCTGACCCTGTAAGACAGGGCAGTGTGAGATGGCTGCACGTTACCCTGGCAAACGGGACACAAGGGCAGGAACTTAATTCCCAAAAGAGGGGGTGATGGGGGTCTCCTCTGTGCAACACTGCACAAAGTGGAACAAGAGTTTCTGTGTGAGGAAGGGAGCTCTCTGAGCTGCTTTTATATGTGGCTTCCTGAAGATGTGGTAGGTTTTATCCCCTGTGTAGATAATATTTGCTGTTGTACAGTCCTTCTGTATCTCACCAGTACAGGAAAGTGCCTGACTTCAGATGCTGCTCAAGGAAATACAGAAAGGTACCAAGGGAAATGCCAAGTACAGAACAGGCCCACAGCTTTTTTTTTTTTAAAATCAACTATTAAAATAGACTCAACTCCAAGACCCGGGATAAAAACCTCTCTTCATGGGGACAAAAAAGGTATGCTGTTAGTTCCTGGATGCTTGAGGTGCACATTTTGATGGACCTTTCTCTCAAGTGCTGGAGAGAGCTGGGTTAGCGTGAGGCACTACTGTGAAGTTGGTACAGTTCATATTTTAAGGTGCAGCTATCCCTTGGCCTCTCTTCATGAGTTTATCTCCCAAGAGAGCAGGCAACTGATGACCCATTTCACACCCCTGCCCTTCTCCCTTACCTGCTGATGTACTTTCGTTGCCCACTGGAGTGCTGGAGCAGCTGCGGTCCATGTTGGAAGATTCCGAGGAGATCCCCCCAGGGCTACAGCCAGTGTAATCCATGTACTCATCTGTTTCCGTGTCCATCATGCTGGGGGGTCCCTGGAAGGAAGCTGGGGTTCCTGATGAGGCTGGGCTGGGTGCCATGCTGCCAACCTGGGGGAGATTCTCATTTCTTGGAGTGTGGCCAATAACCTGCAGCAAGAAAACAGGACAGGGACTTTCACACCAAAAGCGAGATGCCAAGACCAAAACCATCTGTCTGCACGTTTATCTCTCTCCAGTTCATGAGGGATGGCTGGAACATGCTTGTGAGTGGAACCCATGGCACTGGGAGAGTGAATCTTCCTGCACGGGGAGCTCAGAGCATTAAACTTGGCACGGGCACGTGAATTGTGATGCGCTCAGAGGCTGGGAGTGTTAATCTTGGCACCACCTCCTGGTGTGTGGATTCTGAGGCGTTCACAAACAGGAGGTGTTAATCTTGACATTGCTGCCTCACTGGGTAGGTCCTGCTGCAGTCAGACCCTGAGTGTCAGTGTCAGACCATGACTGTCAGTGCTGAGACACGGGGGACACACGTGTGTGCTGTGCTCTCAGCGGCCTGGCCTTGTCTGGACAGTCATGGGTTGGTACCCAGAGTATATCCCAACACTGCACCAACTGCCTACAGAGCACCATGGCATGGGAAAAACTGGAGGCAGTGGCAGCCCAGCAGTCTGGTCAGCTCTGCCATGAGCCCCAGGCTGTGGTTTGACCCTTGTTTGCTTGTTTGCTGGACTGCTCCATGGGCTGAGCCCAGACCAGGATGAGTGCTGTGTGCTCTCAGGACTGCTCAGGTCACCACTGCTGCTTCTCACTGACACAGGACTGCCAGTGAAAGGAGATGGAGGTCAAACCCAGCAACCCCTGCCCAGCATGCACTAAAATTCTCAGGTCTGAACTCAGCATGTGCTACAAGAGTAGTGAACACAAATCTATTTGTTAAACCCTGAGTTTGATTCTTGTACCTAAGCTTTCTGTGTAAAGACCCAAAGCTGCCACAACAGCAACACCAGTTCCTTGGCATCGGTGAGCTCATTAAATCCAACAGCACTAGGCTTGAACAAGTTCACTTACTGACAGTAGTTAATAACTAACAGGGACCTCTCATTCCCATGTTGTGGAATGAAAGAGGGTTTCCATCTTGCTTCTACAGATGGTCCTTTTTGTTTTCCATAAACCAGATGATGTTCTTATGGTCAGATCAGCCACAGGCATTTAAATAAAGCCAGCTTGTTTCATCTCCTAAGTCAATGGAAGCTAAAGCAACTGAAGAGCAAGAACGAGCAGGAGGTGGTAGAAATGCTGTCCCTTGGAGCAGCAGCTCAGTTCTGAAGCTCTTCCATTTATTCAGAGAACAGATAAATCTACTCTGCTAGTTGCTCTCAGTTACATGTTAGAAAAGCAGCAACTGCATCACTGCTACTTCCTGAGAGAGGACAGGAGTGCCCCAGCTAACTCCACATCAATAAGGGAAGAGACATTTCAAGCCTGGTATTTCTCCCATCTTAGGTGGAAGCAGCAAATGATTCTTTATGTGCAACAGGAAATGTTTGCTTTAACCAGCACGTTCAATTCTTCCACATCCTAAGCACTTTAATTTTAATAAGCCAACTGTGTATACTGAGAGAGCTGGGAGAGAGTGCAAGCTGTAAATATGATTATTTTAGTGTTATCCTTCTCAATTTTTTCCCCCATAATTCACAAGGAGAAGCTGTTTACACTAAGCAATGCCTTGCTGTCTGTGCTTCATCATCTTTCCTCATATCGTGTAAGTCCAGTGAGGTAAAGCCACTCTGAGTGTTCTCCCATATCCCAGTAGGATCCCCCAGTGCAGACACACATCCTTAAGAGTCTGGGTCCAAGTGTCCTGGCCCTGCAGCAGCTTTGCAGCCAAAGGGACCAACGCTGCCTGTGGATCTACAGCTCCAATAACAGGAGTTACCTGAGTGGGAACACGATCGAAGTTCTTCCCCAGCATCCTCCTCATGTGCTTTCTGGCGTGGGATGTCATTTGGTGCTTGAGCAGGAAGGAGAACTGGCAGCCCTCTCGGATGCAGTGGAAGTGACTGTTCACCTGGTTGTATTTGCAACCTGCAGACACAAAACCCGTTGTATGTAGTGCATGAAGGTACGGGGAGGGAGCAGGGCTGGGGGGAAGGTGGTCGGACAGGACAAAGCTGCTGCCATGTGGGTTTCTGGGGGATTGAACATTATCAATGGTCGTGGCTTCTTCAGGAACAGTCTTGAAGGTAAAAAAACAAACCCACAGTCTATTGCCTGCTGAGCTACTGCAAGAGAGGATTACAGTGTATGCTGATTTAAGAAGTGAGCCTGAGCCGAGTCCCATCCCTCATTGTTTCATTATAAAGAAAGGAACATTACCATTACATCTAGTCGTGCCTAATGCTCTCCAGTCTTAGCTAGTGCCTTTTCTTTTACAAAGAGAACAAAACCAAGACATTTAGCTGTATCACAGAAGTTACAGTCAAAAATACACGCTCATAATTAGATTAGAAATAAAAAGTTCTTTTTCTCTTTTTTTCCTTTAACTGTGCTCTTGGAAAAGCAGTCTCGTATCAGCTCTAGCTCTGGACAGTGTGTGCTCTCTGGTCAGATAGGAATGAGCCAGGAAGTGTTCATTGCCACTCCAAATTTGTTGTATAATAGGGGCAGCTACTGAACAACAAGCAATTCACTGGGTTCTGGCATAGAGCACTTCACACGTTCTGCTCCTCGTGGCTACAGTCATGTGTGCCAGGGGTGTGTGGCATTAACAATCCCAAACAGCCACTTCCTATAGCTGATAAATAATGGCTTGGTATAGTTCAAACACAGCTGTACCAATAATCAAGTTCTGCTGTTCTCCCCCCCTCCCTTGGCCATACCCTCAGATACACAGAGGTACAGCCAGGCTCACTTTTACGCCCATCCACCTTTACTTGAACATGTATTTTTTCATCTCTCTCTCCAATCATACACGTATATATTTATACACACAGAAACATACATTAAAAAGACCCACCACCCTATCATGTGTGTTTGTTCAGAAACATTCACAGCCCTTAAAGCAGGGCAGTGATTTCTGCTTACACCCATACACACACATTTTCTGAATATATCTCTACACGCACAACGTAAAAAGCAGAGACGCAGGGAGACACAGGGATGGATTCATGTTGGTATAACCACACACCCCCACACCACCCCATCACACTGCCTCTATCTGTGCAGGCAAATGCAGGGTGCTGGCTAAATGTGTGTTTACTGCACAGCAGGCCCAGCCTATGGGCACCTGTACAAACTGCTGGATGCAGGGACCCCATCCCTCCCCAGCACAAACACTGCTGACACAGGCACAGCCTGGAGCTGCCTCGCTGCCAAGCAGCTCCTGGATCACCCAGCCCATGTGGAGCTCTCAGACAGCGTTTTATGTCCATGCCAAGAGTGTGTTTGTTTAGGTATCACTCTGCCCACAGCCCCACCTCTCCTGCCCTCCCCATCCCTCTGATCCCTGTGCTCTGGGACTGGGAACAAACAGTGCTGTGGGATGAAACACTATCAGCACAGGGCAGGTGAAGGCTCGCCTGTTGCCAGGGCACCGTGTGGGCTGGGTGTCATCTATCACTGTCCTGCTTTGTCTGGCCCCTGCTATCACCTGAAACACCCAAAGGTGAGCAAATAACACAACTGCTGAATCTGCTGCCATGTGTCAGTGAGACCCAGGCAGGTACTGGCCACAGGGTGTTGACACTCATTACCCTGGTTACCACAAACAAGCTGCCATTCGGGTACAAATTTTTTGACGTATTCAAAGCTGAGAAGTTTGGTTCTGGTTACTGTGGCTGTTTCCCTGCAATGGGGGGGAACAGCACCCAGAAACATTATTCTGAACCTTGTTTAGTTCCAGCCTTTGTTCCAACCAGGAGTGACAGGGAACTCTTGGGTCTGTGACACTGTTAAGCCAAACCACAACAAGAACCCCAGGAAGTTCAGGGCAGAGCTCTGCTGGAGCTCTCTTTAGGGACTCCCCCTGTTCAGAGCCCCGGATTTCAGCTCTAGGTCCCTCCCCAGGAACTCATTCTACTTTCTGTTGTTTTGTGTTTGTTTTCCCAGCTTTGCACTGGAGGCACTTGGATTTAATAACTGCTGCAGTGCTGCTGACAGTCCTGGCAAGTGGGCCAGCCCCAGTCTGAGGCTGTGCCATACTGGGTGTTCCCCTAGGGCCTGCTCAGATGGGAGGCTGTATTCCCTGGGAGCACGATCACAGGGGCTCTGGAGAACTGGTTTGGAGGAGAAGGGAGTAGTTTATTGCATGCTCTTCTCCACCTCTCTCTCTCTGGTTATTTGCCCTTTGACTTCCAAAATGCTGCACTGGCAATGGTTAAAAAAAAAAAATAAAATCCTCCTAAGAGCACCCTTAAGCTTCCCCCAACACAAGCAGTAGGTCCAAAAGTATAAAAACAAACAAACACCAAAAAAAAAAAAAAAAGCTTTGACAATTAGATAAAAAGGAAAAACAAAGGGGAAGCTGTATGTCCAGACAAATACATATGTACAATTCTCTCCATCACAGTTTCTATCCATTTACTTTGAGTCTATTTGGGAAAACATGATGCACATCAGGAACTGCTTTGTGTTTTGTTGCCTGTCTTGTTTAGTGATTTAATGACCAAATACCTCTTAAGCAAAACCTGCAGGTCCTAACTCCTGGCATTCTTGGCCTGGGCATGGCACAGCCCACATGAGAAAGAGAACAAAACTCACCCAATCTGCCACATTCTTCCCTCTTGGTAAAATACTTGAAGCCGTTGGCTGCCCTCCTCTCTGCCTTCTCATGTTTCTTCACGTGCCAGGGCAGCTTGGTGGTGATGTTTGTCACGAAGTAGCAGCCAGGACGCAGACAGTGGTAATGCCCTCGCATCCGGAATTCACAGTGCTGGGGGGACAAGCAGGCACCTGCTTTAGGCAGGACTAAAACAAATGCACCCTCACCTGCCTGCCACTAATGGTGTCCCTTCTGAGGAGTGAGAGGGGCCTGAACTGACGCTCCAGATCCCGAGCATTTTATCTTCCACAACCTGCAGAGCACCTGGTTCCCTCTCGTCTTTTTGCCTTGCTGTTGTGTACTCTGTAACACACTGCTCTGTGTGGCTTTCCCTGGATTCATCACAGATTTTTATTCTATTTCATCCTGTGTCTCTCAGGTCACTCTGGTCCCCCTGTCTGCTTCACCCCCTGCTTCACCCCAGTCAAACAAACACACAAGCACCGCAATTTCCCATTAGATAGAAACCAAACGTTTTGCAAGACCATGTAATTAAGACCCTTCCACGGTTCTGTAGTTAGACCAGGAATGCCACACTCAGCCTCCCTTCCTGCTGGGGAGTCAGTGTACCTGATCCTTCTCCTCCTCCCACTCCCACAGCATTCCAGATGCTCTGGAATGGCTCTTACCTGGTTGGGACAGAGACACTGCAGGGAGTAATAAGCAAACTGGTCTCGCACGTTCACCAGGTTGTTGTTGGGGTTGATGTGGTCCAGGCAGTGGGATTCTGCTTTGCCAGAGGTTTTGCACACATACTTGCAGTTCCCAAAGAGACAGTGGAAGTGGAATTTGTTGGCGTACTTGCAGTCTGTTGCCAGGCAGGGATCACTGGAATACATCCAAAACCCAATCATCACCTTCACTCGTTTCACACATTTGTTCCTTTGCCAAAATTTAATTCACGGGGAGCCCAGCTGAAGCCTCCATTCCAAACATGGCCCACAGATTTCCCATAGCCACCTTTCTCTTTAGGGAAATTGAAGCTGGCAATGCTACTGCAATTCCACCCAGGCAGGGCACTCTCCTGATTAACATTATTAGAACACAGCAGTGCCTGGTGGGTTCTGTAGTCTTTGAGGGCCACTCTTCCAATTTAAAGCTCAACAGAAACAAAACTCTTGGGAAATCCCACTGCAGGATTCCAGGGCTTCCCCTGATCAGACAAAATCATCACTGGTCTGCCTCATCAGCTCAATGGGTTTGGTACCTTACATCCCCAATTCATTCCATAGATTTCGGGCCCAATAACCCTTCAGTGTCAAAAATACTGCAGACACCTGTGTTTCTGTACAGCCCTCATAAGGGATAAAAAAGGAATCAGTGATATATCACCAAGTTTATTTCTCCTCTAAATTTGTGCCTAGAAGTGCTCTCAGATGTACTTGAAAATCTTGATTTTTTTTTTTCCTAAGATAACTGAAAGTATTTCCTGGACTTCAGAGAATTAAATTTTCTGTGGGGTAAAGGCCAGAGTACTTTCTAGGCAGAAGGTCTCGGTGGTGAATAGAGGTGTAGTACTGCAGCTCTGAGGAGTGGCACAGAGGGCACTGCAAGGCTGGGGGGACAGAGGAGGCAAAGGGCAGCTCCAACTTACTTCTCCTGGAACTGGAGAAATCCGGGTTTGACCTGAGGCTTGGCGTTCTCCAGGGAAGTCGTTGCCAAGGGTGAAGCTGCCAGGTTAGGCACTGATGCTGGGATCTGAGGCATCTGGGGTATAGTGGAAGCCAGCTGCTTCCAAGCCAGCAGTGTGGGGGCAGAGGGCACAGTAGCTGGACTTGGAGTGGGCACGTCGAGGGCAGGAGCACTTGCCATGGTGGCAGAAGTAGCAGATGGTGATGAAGGGGCCAGTGAAGCTTTACTCTCAGTAGTGGTTGAGAAGGGAGACTCAGAGTTACTTTTCACAGTTCCACCCTCAGTTCGGAAGTGAAAACTGCAAAAGGACAGCGTTCATTCAGACATAAATTCTTGACCATTGCAAATAATTTGATTAAACATCAACAAGAGTGGGGCAGGAGTCTGCAAGCAAATTAGCTGAAGATAAATCCTAAAAGGGGCTCTGTAAACTGTGCGTAAAGATTTAGGGCCCTCCTAGACCGTCTGTGAGGAGAAGGGAATTCCTTAAGAGGGGTGGAGAAATCAGAGAAATGAGGTGTGTGAAACCAGGGAAATGCCACAGTCGGAGCTCAGTGTGCCTGTGGGGCAGCTTCCCAGGGCTGTGGAGAGAAGCCAGCAGTTTGTTGTAGTGAACCACAGGGAACTATCCAACAGGAGAGACCAACTGTGCCAACAGATCTGTCTTAAAATCTGCAACATCTCCTTCCCTTTGACCCCTTCAGACTCAGGCTGCCCAAGGCCTGACTCACTCTTTACTTGGACATTCCCCTGCCTTTACAAGGAACTTGGGGTGGTCTTGAGCTGGTCTCTCCCTCCTTGCAGTGTGTGCAGAGCTTTCTCAAGGCTGCTGCTCTCCCACTTACTTGGCGTGTTTGATGGCTCCATCCAGGGTGCTGAACAGGGCCCCACATTCCTCCACCACGCAGTGGAAATGCACCTTGTGCAGGAAGTCACACTGGGCATCGCAGAAATCCTTGGTGCCAAACCTGGCCAAAGCAGACAAGCAGGCATCTTAGGGAAGGCCCCAGGAGAGAAGCAGGGTTGGAACAGACATATTTCCTTTGTTTTTCAACTCTATCAGCGTTCCCACAAACAACAGTCGCTCAAGGGAATCCAGATTCCCCTCCTGCCTTGAAGCAGCAGGGTATCCCACAGATGGGAGACAGGGAGCACCACCTATGTACCCACTGCAGCCTGGACTGCAGAAACACTGCAGAGCATCATCCCTGAACACAGAACAACCACCCTGCCATGCAAGCACTGTCCTGGATGTGCCTTGTGTCATCCTGGAGTCATCCTGGAGTCAGAGGGTAAAACCAGTTCAGTGTGGTGTCACTGCTCACCCACTGCTGAGATCCTCTGTCTTTAAAAGAGCAGCACAAATACATGTGGTTTCAGGAAACTCCAGAATCACAGGGAATGGAGAAATCAAGTAAGAAACACTGGCAGGAAGGATTTGAAACTTAACAAGGGAATCTTGCATAATTAAGATACAACAAACTACAGTTGCTCTGATGAGCAGGAAAGCAAGAAACAAACGGCAGCCTGTGTGGTCCCAGGAGGGACCTCTCACCAAGGGGAGGGTAAAGGGAAAAGAAAAAACTTCTACTGGAGAAGGCCTGGATATACAACACATGCTGTCAGTTATGGCTGCAGGGAGAAGAGGAAGGAAAGCAGGGGTGGGGTGAGAGAGATGAAAACAAGTTACTGCAAACTAAAGGGGTTGCTTTACCAGGGACAAGAGGTGCTCAACCTAAAAAAGAAGGCCCAATGAAAATGGGAGGTGATGAGTCAGAAATGGCTGCACTATAGCATTTGCTTTGGGTGAGAAAACTAAAGACAAAGCAGATAAAGGGACTGGTTGGAAAAATATAAATATACACAAATCAGCCAGTCTGGGTGATGTATGTCCTGAAGTGCAATGGAAATTAACTCCCAAACTGATTGCATGACTATTTGCTGGTTTTTAAGCCACAGAGAAGAGGGAGGTACTATGTAATTGGAAAAAAAAAACCAACAGTCAAGGTACTGGTTGTTTCAGGGGGAAAAAAAAGTCAAGTCATCTTTGGCAATTATCACACCTCTGGCCTTAACTTCTCCTTCCAGTAAAGTAATGGAACAAATATTAAGAGGGAGGAGAAAATCATTAAACATCTAGAGGATAAAGGAACCATGAGCAATAAACAGCATCAGGATTATAAAGAATAAATCTTGCCAGACAAATTTAATTGCTTTTTTTGATAGAATTACAAAATTAGTGGATGAAGGGATGCAATATATTTGGATTTTAGTAAAGCATTTTGATACAGTCTCGCATATGCTCAGAATTAATTCCAATTGGCCTGGATGTGATGCCACCTCATGGCTTGAAACTGGCTGAGGGACTGTAAACAAAGGCTGATGACAACCAGCACCACACTGAGCTGGGAGGAGGCATCGTGTGAGTGCTGAGAGGAGGACTTGGGGTAGCCTGAGCTTATTTAACATCTTCATTAGTAATCTAGGAGTGAACAGCGTGATAATGAAATTCAGAGAAGATATACTAAACTGGGAGGAGTTGGTAACACCAGTGCAAGAGGAGAGAAAGAGCAGAGAGAGGCCTGGCAAGAGAAGGGAGAGAGTTCAGAGCACCAGAGTTGTGTTTGAGAACACACAGCTGATACACTCGGGGGGATTTGTACACAGGGGACTCACAGAGCAACACGAAAGCCTGCCCTGTGTCACAGGGGGTGGCAAACACAGGACATACACGTTGCTCTGTATAGGTGCAAACAGTGAGCTGCCCATGTGGGGGGCACAAAGCTTGTTCTGCCTGGGTGGTGCCAGAGCAAGGGCAGCCCAGTTGGGCACAGAGTCAGACCAAAGGAAGTAAATAAGCCTGGTTAAATGGCACGCTGAAAGTCTGTGACCATCTGAAAGGGGTGAACTCCCAACTGCACAGAGGAATTATCTGCTGTGGTTCAAGGGGATACAACCAGAAAGAACTGCAACAAAACTACAGAAAGGGAAATTCAGGCAGCAAACATGGAAAAAATTGTGACACTGAAACTTCTTAGGTGGTAGAATAATGCTCCCAGAGACAAGAAAATAGCCACACTGCCTGGCATAATTACAACTAGGCTGGACCAAATGCAAATGGACTGCAGGGAAGGATCTCACAGTGGCCAGGGGCAGATGGACTAGAAGACTTCCTAGTCTTTTCCATTAAAGCCTGTGATTTACAAAGTGTCCAGAGGCATTTGTAGGCGATTAATCTGTGTCAGAGCACAAAGCCATGTGTCTGCCTGGGTGTATGTGTGTGTGCTCAAAGCATGTGTCTGTCTGGGCATGTATGTGTGTGTGGGTGAGGTCTGGACCTGTTCCATTTTCTTTCTGAGTCTCCTTTCCTACAACAAAACCAGCAGACACCATCCCAGTTCCCATACCCCTTATACATACTGCCATGTCCCAAATCCCCCCAACTTTCTCTGTTTCAGTGGCCCGTGGTCAGAGGAAATGCCCCAGGAAGCCCTTTAAGGCTCCACGACCCCTGTGCAGTATCTGAACATGGTCCCACACGAGGTCAGTGCTAAGGGGACACTGCAGTGGGTCCCCAGGACTCACAGATCAGGGACATAAGGAGCAGCCTAAGATGAAATGCAGGCCAACAGAGCCTTGTGAAGATCTGTGCTCATATTTGGTTCTCAAGATGCCTTTGGAAAATAACTCTGTGGGGCAGACATTCCTTACGGGACATCAGCACCTGGTGCAGGTAGCAGGGACTGAACACGCTCCAGGTAGTCAGGGTATGGCAGAGTCAGGCCTTTACATTTAGCAGAACTCTGAATTCAGGGGTGAACCAATGAGCCAGACACTTTGCAAAGAAATCCCTTCCCCTTTGCTGCATTCCCAGTTCCACGCTCTCCTTACCGGCGCAGGTACATCTTCCACGGCTCAGAGAGCTTCTCCTGGACAAGGGCCTTCACTGCCTTGCCCAAGTACTGGGTTGGCTCCCCAGCCCCAGCCTGGCTGCCATCACCTTCTGTCTTAATGTTCAGCAGGTTGCCAAGGCTGGCACTGGTCTTGGACATCTGGAACAAGAACACAGACACTGAATCAGGCCCAGCAACAGCCATGGACACCCTCAGGACTGTCCCACACCAAGCTGTGTCTTCAAAGATTGTGAGAAGACAAGAAGTCTGCACAGGCTGCCCCAACTACATCAGCAAAACTTAATAACACCTCACTTCTGCATCCTCCACCCAACTATCACAGAGCACTCGAGTTCCCATTGAATATTCATGGCTCTTGTTCAGCAGTGAAGCCTCGTGTCTATTTTATACAGGGGGGAACTGAGGTGAAGAGAGGTCTCCTATTTGACTATGGAAAAGGTGTGCAGGCTAAAACAGTAATAGCCCTGTGGAGCTCCTACAAAATGCTGGTCTCTACACAGAGCTCTGGTAGAACTGGTAAGCTCAAGTTTATTTTGAGTAACCTTGTCCCTGCCCCAAGGATGTCTCCTTTTAAAGTGAGTATCAGGTATGTTGTGAGGGTGGAAGGAGGAGAATGTCATTCAACCTGGGAAAAAAATTCTGCCTCTACTTAAGTCCCTGGAAAATTCTTATTAACTTCAATAATGAAATATGTCACTTTCTGTGCTAAATGGACACATCCCCCACAAAGCAGGACTCAGACTCACAATGTGCATTTTGTGAGGCTTCAAATTGACTCTGCACAGAGAAGGTTTAGAGGTCCAGATGTGGTGTGCAGGACAGAAAAAAGAAGTCACTCAAGAGTGCTTAGAGGGAAAATTTTCTTTCAGAATAAATGCACAATTTCCCAGACCCTTTCTTGCTCTGTTGTGCTCTCGATTACCTCCAGTAACAACAGTGAATTTCACAGCATGAATAAAATGCAGGATTGGGCCCAATACTTGCACTGGAAACTCCACCCACTCGAGGATCTCAAAGCCCTTTATAAATATCAGTTAATTAAGTCTGACAGCCCCCTAAATAAACTGCAATAGGCTACAGGAATCCTGGCTATTTGAGGCTCTCTTAATGCCCCCTGAAGGTAAAGCCCCTGCTGCTGTGTGGAGACTGCAACTCTTTATGGCTGGAGTCAGAAATCCAGGTCGTCTGTTTCCACTGGGGTGCTGGGCATTCCAGTCCTGTAAAGGGCTCTTTTTCCTAGACAATGAAGGATTCCCCCACGGACACAAACTGTGCAGCAAGAGGAAAAGACAAGTGTGATGTGTTCCTGAGCAGACCGAACTCAACTCGGTTCCTTAGAATTCTTGGAATCAGTTCCTTTAATCAGTGGGTTCTACTCTTTGCTGCTTTGTGTCATTGGTTAATCCCCTTCTTTTAAAAAAAAGAACCTGAAGAACTCACAGTTTGCCCCTGTGCTACGCCTGTTTGGCACAACATAAAGAGTCGTGTGTCAGGCTGCACACAAGCCAATGCTGATTTCCAAGCATATGCTTAAATCCCATGTTATCCTGGAGATTTTCAAGTGAAGTGCCCACTGAAAGAGAATTTCCCCGATTTGGGGCCTTCAGAATGACTCAGGACCCCGGAGAGCAAACTCACTATGCACATTTACTCGCTAGAGAAAAAGCTGCATATTTGGAACCACTAAAGGGACAATACATGGGAACAAATAAGAAATTAAGTTTAAAAGGGGACATCAAAAACCCAGTGTAACAGAGAGCCCACAGAGGAGAAAAGTGACACGAAGGATAAACACAGAAATCAAACAACACAGTGAAAACCAGTGATGAAACAAGAGAGAAAGGAGGCAGGAGATTACGAGGCAAAGTCACTTTGCCCTCTCTTGAGGGTTATATGGCCTTGATGCTTGTAATGCCCAGAGCCAAGGGGTGGGCAATAGTTATGCCTGTAAAACCATCACACAGCAGAATATTAAAGCATGGCTCAAAGGCTGCCCTGATCTCTACTGCAGTTGTATGCAGCAGCAAAATTAATCTTGGTACAGTAGAATTTATCATGTGAAAGGGAAATATATATTTGAGATGATGTATAATTTAAGGAAAAAGTAAGGAAAAAGAAACTGTACATTATCTGAAATAAATATTCTAGAACACGGTAAAGGGGATTCTGTTGGACACCATTACTCACACCAGAAAGACAGGAATTGATGATTTTGGTTCAAAACTTCTAATTTTTTTCCTTCTCTTCCATAAAAACAAATTATTCTCCCCCTCCCCCAATGAAAAAAAATGTTTTTAAGTAAATAAACAAAATGAATAACTATAAAAAGAGAGCGAGAAAGAAGTTGCCAGGTTCTGGAAATAAAAATGAAAGAAAAAAAAAAAAGCAAAGGAACCTTTCGGAGCCGTCTAGAAAGGATGGAAAAAAAAAAAAAGGTGTCAGAGGCTGCAATATATTTCTTCAGCCAGTTCATTAAATTAATTCGTAAGCAGTGGCTCTGAAATTATACCCGATGAAAAATGGTCTCAAAATTTAAATGGTACAAACTCATCTTATTAGAGGCAAAACATTAAAAAACAAACGCATCTCGGCCCCCCCCCCCCGCTATCGCGGCTTTAATTTCTCGTGGTGGGGGCAATGAAAGGCGTGTGATGGATGGCTCTTACCTTATTCATAAGCGAGGATAAAAGAGATGAATTTGCCGAGACTGTGTGGCCATTTGATTCATTACTGGAACACACAAACCAACAGGGTTTAGTTGAGATGTGCACAGGGACCGGGAGCGCTCAGATTAATCCTCCTCCCTTCAAGCTGCCTCAGTCCTCACCTGCTGCATCCGTAGGAAGAGAATGATGCCCACCCTCCCCTGGGCAGGCCAAACTCGGGATAGCCAAGATGGAGAGAAAGGGAGCCCGAGGTCTGCAGGATTTAGTTCTTTAAGCTCCTAAACAGCCCAGACCACTAACTCAGTGTCCAACCCACCCAACCCACCACACTTCATTAGTTGACTCACAACCTCCCCCATGTTCTGCTCCTTCATCCCGCTAGAACTTCCCATGAATACATCCCAGAAAACCAAGGGGGACGTTGCTGAAGACTCACACTGCCAGGGACATGGGTCCCCTGGGCAGCAGAGAGGAAGGCAAGGCAATGGTCAAGTGCTGAAAGGCAGCCTTGGGATCTCACACCATCAGCAGCAGCTCTAAGTGCTGGGGTACCAGGTTTAAAGAAGGTATGGCCAGGAATGTATGAAAAGGTCAAAGTGGAGCTCACTTATCCCCAGGATCAGTTCCTCTGCCCTTTTTCCACACAGGACAATCCCCAAACACTCCTGTTCTCAGCAGATATGCCAGGCAAGTGGGACACATGTTTTGAGAAAGGTGCGTTCACATTGCACAACCATGACCATAACCATGGATCATGCCAGACCCAGACCAGAGTTATCCTGACACTGGGCTGTTTTGTGTGTCCGATTTCTCAAGCAGGTGCTTCCCTCAGACCTGGTTCAGCAGACAGACAGCAGTGCCAGTGCTGCTGCTCAGAGCGTGCTGAGGTGTGGCACTGGGCCTTTGATCAGTTCGGATCACAAGAGCAGGACTAAGGGAAAGCAGCTCTGCCAGTGGCTCATTTTCCAGAGGGGAGGTCAAGAGGTGAGGCTTTTGTCAAAGAGTCAAAAGGTGCTTGTGAGCTCAAAAAAACATCTGGAGAACATACACTTGAGGGGGACTATAATGACTATAATAACCATCCCTGCCTGCAGTTTCGGGGAGTCCAACTCAGCCCCTGTGAAACTGCCTTTCACCAACACTCCGTGTCCTTGTGTTACAGGTACAGGAACTTCCCAGAGCTCGATGCTGGGAAGAGCTCAGTGTGCCTGTCCCCTTCTCTCACCCGTGATCCTTGACGCTCAGGTCCAAGCTGTGCTCCTGCAGGGAGTCCTGACTGGTGGCAGATGATGATCCCATGGCCTCCGCAGGTTCCTGCTTCACCTGGACCGGATTGAACCGTCCGGGAGCTGCTGGTTGTCCATTCCCTGCTCGAGAAAGACACCCAAATTAAGTGCAAAATTTAAATGAAAATGTAGGTCTAAAATGAGGTTACAATGGCAAATAAGTAAGTTAAATCACTGGCACCAGTGCCTAAATGGAAAAAGCAAAGGAAAAGTGTGGGGGGAAGGGAAGTGCTGGGATTGCTGGTCAGCGTTTATTGCCAAGTTGACATGATGGGTTCTGACGTCCACTCCAGCGTGGAAATTCTTCAAGTGATAATTATTGCAAAATTATGTCAAAGTTGTCCAGGCTATGGGCCCTTTAAAGGAGAAGGGCGGAAGGAGCGTGGGGGAGACCTGATTCTCTGCACAAACTGTCATAACTAATTTGCGGGGCTGCCTCTTAAGCGTTTATTAAAGACTCTGTTAATGCTGAGGCAATGTGGCAGCTTTCGACTGCTAGTCAAGCCCCCTTCCCCGTCCCCAATCCCAGCGTTGCCGTAGCGACAGCGCCGGCCCCGACACTGCGCCTGCCCAGCAGGAGCATCTGCCCCGCCGGGGCGATCCGAGGTGACAGCGAGGGACCCGCGACCTCCCGCCACCGCCCCCGCCACGTCCCCACCGACCGGGCAGTGCTGCCCCGCGGGGAGCTCTGGGGAAAGAAAAATCCGAATTAAAGGAAGAGAGGGGGAAATAAAAAAAAAAAAAGAGGGGGAAAAGGGAGAACAAATTAAAGAGAAAAAAAAATTAGGAAAAAACAGCAAAGAAAAAAGGAGGGAAAAAAAGTTGCTGACAGGAACATGTCTGCAGAGCTTTTCTCCACAATCCCCAAGTGACTAAAATATTAATTTGCCCTCCGGCAGTACAGCTGACAGCGAGCTGCTTCTCAGACAGCAAGTGGCATTTTATTAAAAAATAAAGGAAAATAGTTTCCTCAATGACCTTTCTCTGCTTTAGGAAACAATTTTTCAAACAATAATTTTAAAAGTATGTGAAAGTTCCCCTCCCTCTTTAATCAGATCGCTTCGTCCTACTCCCCCGTTTGCTCAGCACTCCCACAGCCAGGGTCAGCAGCTGCTCCAGCCTCTCCATGCCCCAGGAAGGAGCTCCAGGGCAGCCCAATGCCATGGGGGCTGCCAGGCACAGCCTCCCCCCATGACCCCTCGCTGCCCACCAGGAGCTGACTGTGTTCAGCAGACTGTGGAGGTTCCCTGTGCTCTCCTGGGAACCCCATGTCCCTCTCTGGAAGGGCTGGGCATGGGCTATGACCTACATCAGGTCTAGGTGGCAGCAGCAAGAGCTTCATGCTGCCCCAGGGGAGTTCTCATTCCCATCTTTTATCTCCTCAGGGAGCTGCAGGGACAGGTGAAGCACAGTTTGCAAGGACTGACCAGGAGAAAGGTCCTGTTTGTGGACTGTACCAGCACTATCCCCAAACCCACAGGTGGGGCAACAGAGCTGGAGCACAGAACCAGCATCCCAGACCAGAAAAACAACAGGCCATGGGCTACAGCATCATCACCACAGGGACCAGCTAAAGCTCATACAGTCTCTGCACAGCCTGCAAGTATTGGCCAAGCTTTTCTTCATTTCCATTTTCAGTACAGTGCCTCTCTCTTTTCAACTTACAGCAAACTACACATGGCAAAACTCTTCCTTCAGCTCTGGTAAGAGCCTGCTCCTTTTGTGGGCAAAGCTGTGTTTCCTGCCTCTCTTCTGGCCAGGTGGGTATAGCCAGAATCCACAGGAACCCATGCCAAGACTGCCCTCTCCAAGGGTTAACTAGACACAACCAAGTTCACTCTCCCATTCATGTTCCTTTACTACCTCCTTCCCACCTCCAGTCCCATGGAAGTGGGAAGGAGGTAGTAAAGGAACATAAATGTCACTGGGTGGCTTCTCATTCACTCTCAGTCATCAGGCACTGCTCTGCCTCCCACCACTATCACCACTCATGGGGTAACTCACCTGCTTCAAGTGCCACAGAGGGCTTGAGTGCAGCTGCTGCCAGCCTGGCCATCATAGGAGAGATTAATCCCTTGCTAGCAGAGATCCTTTCCATTATAGATGCTGCTGGAGCTGGAGAGGAAGTAGCCGCTGGCTCACCAGATCCTGAGACTGCCTGGGATGAGGAATCTGTAGGAGCAGATGATGTTGGATTGGCGCCAGAAGAACCAGCAGTCATCAGATTAGCCGAGCTGGCAGGCAGTGGTGTAGAGACCCGACTGGGGATGATGGGGAAGAAGGATCCAGCTGTCCCAGGAAGTGCTGAGTTGGAGAGTGCCAGGGCCAAGGGTATATTGCTGGGAAGAGCCTGGGAGAGCAGGCCAGAGATCTTGGTGGCTGGTGTCATGCTGTTGGCAGCCTTGGTGGCCTGTGAGGAAGCGAGCTCGGCCGCAGAGGAGGGCGCGGCCGGGACGATGAGAGACACGGAAGACTGTTGGCTGGTCGGGGAGGCACTCAGGCTGGAGTTCTTGGAGCTCATGGCAGAGAAGTCAATGAGGTCATCGTTACTGGACTCCTCCTGCTCGTTGTCCTTGGAGCCCAGGAGAGAGGCAGGCAGGCCCAGCACTCCCGAGCTCCGGATGTGCCGGCGCTCGTGTTTGCGTTTGTGGGAGGTCATCTGGCTGGTGGAGGTGAAGGTGAAGCCACAGCCTGCCCTGATGCAGTGGAAGTGGTTGGTGGCCTTGCTGTAGACACAGCCCTCATACTTGCATTCCTCGTACTTGTAGAACTTCTTGAAGCCATCCTTGGCATAGGCATCATCTTTGATGTGGTAGCTCTTGTGCTTCTCAATGTCACACTTGTTCTTGAAGGTGAACGTGCACCCAGGTCTCCTGCAAGGGCATCGAGGACAGGGGGGTTGGCTGTGTGGGCAGGAGCACAGCCCAGCTGCTGTCACCTGCCTCCCTCTGGGACAAGGACTGGGGCCAGGATAAGACAACGGCCTGGCTGCAGAGGAGCTGAGGAGCTGTGACACCAAGGCCAGCAGAAATGCTGCCATGTGGGACAGCTGGGATGCTCACTCCCCTCAGAGGAACAGCCACAATAACACAGGCACCCTCCACTGAAAGTTCCAACCAGAACAGCAGCTAAAGGGGACTAAGGTACAAACTGTGTTTTCCTGCTCTTCCTGAGAACATGAGAAATCAATAGAAGAGCAGTTGTGCACAGAAGGCCCAGTCAGGCCCCAAAAGGGATGAGCTGGCTGGAAAAAACCCTACCATGGAAGTGCCATTAGCAGTGTATTAAGGGCCTACTTCAGCTGCACTCTGATGAGCAATGTGATCTCTTTCCCAAATGATTCTAGGATGTATTTTCTAGTGGGTATCCTCTCCTCAGATCATACTCCTGCCTTCAGAGTGGTCTCTGGAAAGATCCTGGAAATCCCATCTGCCCTGGAACATGAGTTCTCTCAGGAGCAGGACTGTGAAGGTCACAGCAGGGAAAAACCAAGTCCCTGTGCACACTCCTGAAATTCGGACTTGGTAGAAGGAGGTAAACAGAGCACACAGCTCTGAGGCAGGATTCCTCCCCCTCCCTGCTGTCTCACCTGCAGTGAAAGTGAGTGGTTTTCTGCCCGTAGAACTGGCACTCCACAGTGCCACAGTCCTCCGTGGCGCGGAACCGCTGGAACCCGTCGTTGATGAGCTGAGTGTTCTTCTTGTGGAAGTTCTCGTGGGTCATCACGTCAGAGGTGCTCGTGTAGACCTTGTTACAGCCCACCTGCCCCAGGCCAAAACAGGAGTCATCAGCACAGTGGTTTAACAGCCTGCCATCATCACCAGCAGTAATAAACACACGAGCAGCACACGTACATTTAACAGTTCCATTTGTGTGCTGCTCCTTGGAGTATTAAGTCATCACTTCAATTCCCAACCTAAAGACTGAGAGAGCAGTTGTGGGAAAAAAAAAACAACCCAACCCAACTCTCTGGGCATGAAACAGTAAGAAAAAAAGGGAGGATTGAAGGGATAAAAGACCAGCTCTGGATAATCATGCCTGCTTAGGGAGGCAGTAAGCAGGGTTCATGCTCTTAAGGAGAAGGGAAGACTAAGAGATGTTGTTACTTGTTGTTATCTTGGGGTGACATGGAATGAAGTAGGAGCTTCAACTATTTGGGGAATACAAAACTGAGTGGGAATAAGTTATTTTCTTCTTTAGTCCTTCTGAGAGGTAAGGCAGGGTGGTGCAACATGGGGCCAACCAATCTTTCGAGGCCATAATAAACAGTTTAATTCTAGCAAAGCTTACACCCAGTGTTCAGCTGGTGACTTTTTTTCCCTGTCCCTGCTCAAGACTTCCCACGTCAATAATTTTAAACTTGTGCAGCAAATGGGAATGGTGTGATGAGGAGGGAATGCTGAAAACCTGCCTTCCTCTGGGCAAACCGGGCAACTTTGCCATATTGAGTAAAAAACCACTGGAATCCCAAAACGTCCTCAGCCCTGCTGAGGGAGGATTTTTTTTTCTTTTCTTCTAGCACAACGTGTGCCAATGCCTGCACCATCTCAGAACTGAAGAGAACAAAAACACCACCCCTTAGTTCAGCCCAGGTTGATTCAAACAGGCCATAACAAAACCCATGACAAATACCCAGGAAAAAAAAAAAAAGGATCTCCAGCTATTTCCAATATTAAAGAGCCTCTCTCTCTCTGCACTGACACCTTGAAAAAAGACAGGCCCTGCACGGTATTAAAAAAAAGAATTAAACAAAAACCTCCTTAGGAATAATTTGCAATGCAGCTCTTGGTGCTAAAGCCTAAAAAAATGTCCGTTTATATAAACAACTAACTGAATTTTATCCACACCAATTATGGACATAAAGAAAAAAAAACCCCATGAGATGGATGGCACAAATTCTGCCATTTAAGCAGTATTTTCTTTAATTGGGAGTTTATATTCAGACACCTTTCCTGTAAGACACTGCTTACAAGGGCGTTATTTTACTGGAAGACAGTGGGCACAGGGTGGAATTAGCCATATATAGTTGTGTAAACGAGGGTCTCTATTTGAACTCAGAGTGACTTGAAGCTGTGAAACACTCCTTGTACTCTAAAAAAAAATTAAATTCTATCCTGCTCAATTGAAGAAACTAAACAATCAATATTATGGAAGTGTAACAGAAAATGTCCTCAAGAGCAAGTCACATGAAGTTCCCAATTTATCAAATGCTGTAAGCACATGCTTCAACCAGCCCCTATTCAGGACAGAACTTGAGTGCATGCCTAACATTTAAGTATGTGCTTAAGCCCCATTGACTTCAGAAAGCTTACCTGACTTCAAGTTAAACATATGCTCAAGTCTATCCCAGCAAAGCATTTAAGCATGTGATTAAGGCCTTGTGACTTTAACTGGGATCTTAAACTGCTGGGACAGGGCAGGGACTGAGCCTGACTCTTCTGACCAGAAAAGCTGCCACCAAGGGTTGCCTGGTCCCTCTGTAACTACAGCACATTCTCAGGGCAATGGCTTAGGCCACAACTCTGATGAAACGAGCACATGTCAAACCCTTGAATCTGAGGAACAATCAGGGTGAGACCCAAACAATGTGGTGTGTCTGTGTCTAGAACAGTGAGGGCACCTCAGAGACAACTGTGCAGCAGCTCCAGCTCTGGCTGTGCCCTGGCTCCTGGAACATGGCTCCAGTGGACATCACACACAGGTACCACTGGTGGGGGAGATGGAGAACCCGGGGGGTTAAGTCTAAGTATGTGACATTGAGGTTTAATTACTTTAGAAATTGATTATGGAGGAAATTAACCCGGTGTTGAAGGGCAGCTGTGTCACAGAAAAGTCTGATTTCAAGGGAGGAACAGATCAGATTTGAGTGGAGGCAGAGGTCCCTGAAGCTTGGAAAATGGGACTTGCTTGGACAAATGAAGTCCAAGACTGTGAGAAAACCTTAAGACCTGCTTTGCCTCACTGCATGGACAAGGCTTCTAACAACAGAGAATGGGGCTTCCCTTTGCCCTTCCCAACACTTGGCAGGGCAAGTGCAGTGAGGACAGGGCACGGACTCTTCAAAGGGGCTCCTGAATCAGAAGCAAGCAAGACAGGCTATGAATGCCCCCCTGAATGTCACCCCTCTGCCTCAGAAGTGTTGGCCTGAACTCAAGAACCCTTGAAGAGCACCGCAGGCAGGACAGGGCTCCAGCAGTGGCCCTGGCTGTGCCCCCATTACCTGCATGCAGTGGTAGTGTGTGCTCTTGCCGTTGAGGTGGCAGCCGTGGTAGTACACGCTGCAGTCGTCCAGGGGGCTGAAGCGCATGAAGCCGTGCTGCAGGGAGTTATCCCGCTTCTTGTGCATGTTGTAATGCCGGATCACATCCTGCTTACTGGTGAATCTCTGCAGAGGGACACAGACAGACACACACGCTGAGACTTGTGGTGGCAGTGGGGGAGTAATCCCAGGGCAGGGTGGGTTTTGTTGTTGTTAGTGGGACCAGGAGTTTAAAGCTTGGCAGTAATCACCCCAGGAGAGTCAGGCTGAAGAGGAATCGTGTGCATCTATCTCCTTGGTAAAGGGAAAGTAAACACGACACTGGGGTGATGTCCAGAACCAGCTCCCTGCAGCTTTAAGACTGCAATTTTTCTAATATAATTTTAGCTGCTCCTATCTCAAGAAGACCTATAGATAGAAAGCAAACCAGTGAACTAAACAGGCTGCAAGAGAGTAACCCAAGCTTCCAAATCACTCACTGTAGTGGTTAGCAAGACACTGGCTGCCACACTCATGTCAGACTGGGAAAAACACTCTGCTCTTTCACACTGTTTTCCCATTCTAAGTCTCCTGCCTCCCCTACAGGGTAGGATAACTTTATTAGGAAAGCAGGGACACACAACTGCCTTCCAGTCACAGAAAAAGATGGCAGTAGAGCTCAGAACTAAATCTGTATGACCAGAATATCCTTTTAATCCTCTACCTGCCTGAAGGAATGAAGGGGTACCCCACTGTCGGAGCAGGCTAAGTGCCTTTAAAATGAAGCTTTTCATTTCTATTTCCCACAGACATCAATATTTAACACTGAAGGTGGGAAAGTAAATCTGATTTTTTTAAAAGAAATCAATATCCATTTATTTTGAGGAGTAATTGAAAAGGCCTGTATTCTAATGTTTAACAACTTTTCCAGTCTCCCTCATAGGAAACAAATGATTATCGCTTCCACTCTTTCCTCCTATAATATCAATCCTGATCAATCTTGCTGGTATTGGCACGGGAATATAGGGATATAGATTTCAACAGAAATCCCTTGGAGGCTGGAGGTATGATTTCCCAGGGCGTACATACAGGATTGCTATTGCCAATCATTGTTAATTTGTGCCCACTTATTACAGAGCGTTACTTATTCTAAAATATATCTCAGCCATAAAATAATTTGCATTTTAAAAAGCAGCCTAAATCCTTATTCCCTGCGAGACCAGACAGTTCCTTTGCAAGCAGCTTCCAGACTCCTTAGGAAATAATCATGAGGCCAATCATAATAATAGGTTTTTCTGTTTTTCCATCCTCTGTGTTTCTCTCTTTCTGGTGCAGGGATATCCATGGCACAGTTGGGACAGACTCATTTCCATTACTTGATGCTGGGTAGGAGGACACTGAGTGCATCCCAGAGAGAAACTCTCCTTTGATCAATAGAAACCCACAGCCAAGCTCAGCAGATCCAGATCGACTTCCTCTGCTGTGGTCAGGCTCATCCCTTGGAGACCCAGAGGTCTCCCGGGGCAGGGCTGAAGTTGTGCCTGATGCACAGCAGAGGCCAACCCTGGGATTCCCACTTACACACCAGCCTGACCACAGAAATGGCAGTGTCAAACTCCTGGACCTGGGATGAGGGTAAACAAACACAGCACGTGACCCGCTGGCCTGACGTGGATCCCCTGGCAGTTCTCCCAGGAATTACAGCATCGCTCCTGCCCCCGCGCCTTCCCCACAAATCCCGGACCGCCGCTGGTCTCGCTGCCTGTTTTGTTGCAGATACTGCTGCTACAAAGTCACTCGGGCAGCGGGAGGGAAAGGGACAGACTAACAGATCAGCATTCCCTGTTTCAGGCACAATTTGTAACACAGCACAATTTATGCTCTTGGTTTCACTGATATAAATCTGGAGTAGTTCCCAGTGACTCGAGCTGATCTATATTCTGCTCTTCCTTGTAGCGGTCTGGCTTTGGTTAAATGGTATTAGATTGAGTTAAACGGGAGCAAAATAGAGTTCTATTAAATTCAGAATATATCCTGTCCTCTTTCAGAGCAGGAAAGTGAAAAGGCATGTGTGTGCACGGGGGAGGACAGCACAGGAGGACACACACCTCCCCCCCTGCCCCGTGTGCTCAGGGGGCTGTGCTGGTCACTCCTGAGCAGGGTTTTTTTACCTGGTAGTTGCACTCGGGGTCGAGGCAGTGGTAATGTTCTCTGTACTGGTATGCACAGTGTATGTGCCCACAGTGCTGGCTGCCCGAGAACCTGCAACAGCAGAGCAGGGGAGAGAATGAATGAGACACTGTCCTGGCAGCAGTGCCTGTGAGCAGGGTACAGATAAAGTCCTGTTTTCATCCCACATGTTTATGGCATTAAACCCCATCTCCTTTATCCCCCCCAAGGATGGTGACCCTCCCGCCTTCCCTTGCTTATTTGTCACTATTTAAAGGTGCTTCTTGAGCCGGATCATTCAGGTCTTGTACATCCCTAATCTGTTTTTCCCCTTGAAATTCATCTTCGTTATCTAAGTTGTTTACTCGGGAAGCACAAAGAAGGAGGGTTCCTTGAACTAACCATCACACAATTCTAGAATTCTCATGTGGGGGTTTAGATACCACAGCAGCAAGTGTCAGAAATCTCCCATGACAGAAGGAGACAAATAAAACATTGGGCAAATACGGATTTGAAATTTTCAGTCTAAGCCCACCTAGCAGGACCTCAGAAAAGCTGCAGACAGCAAATTTGAAAAACTCCAGACATACAGGGTGGAAAAAAGACCAGAAGTGCCATGTAATACCTACATACAGTCAGTACATCTAATGTACTGACTGACAGACATACCAGGAATTGGCACAAGGGGATGATCCAGTAATGGGGTAATCAGTGCAGTGAACTCTCTCATGTATATTCTAGAGGACCATGGAAGAGCTGAAGAGCTTGAAAGGGAAAAGCAGTGGAGAGAAGGGGACTCAGAGGGGAAACATTCAAAGATAAAGTACCATCTGCTCAAAGGTTCCTCAAAGGTTCCTCACGTCACTTAGTGCTAAACACAGCAGGAGTGCATATGATAAAGGGCATGGGAAAGAAACAAGGAAGGGCAGTGGATAGAAAGGGAAAATGAGAGGAGTGAGGGTGTCCTGGAGAAACTGAAGAACGGGGCAGGAGGAGAAAAGATTATGGATCATCATAAGGTGAGGTAACACCAGGCTACAGGATAGAAAAATTCAGGATGAAAAGCAATACTAAATAAGGCATTTCTGAAGCACAGTAAGGAAGAGGAGGTCAACTGTGGAGACAGCAGGGCCTCTAGGAGATGGAAAGGGGACTTAATTGACAGAAAAGATAGACATTGCTAAAAAATTAAATGACTTCTTTGCCTCAGCATTCACAAAGGGAGACAGGGACAGATGCCAGGAGCAGACATGCCTTTCCCTGGGGAAGGAGAAGAAATACTGCAGGAAATCAGGATCACGTCAGAACAGGTGATTGAGAAACTGGAACAAACCTCAGCAGCAGGAGAAGAAACAAACCACAAGGCAAACGGCAGGGCTGGCTGCACAAACAAAGGTGTGGAGCCCAGGGCAGAGGGAGCTGCTCCTGCTCAGTGCCTGGGCAGCTGCAAGGCTCGTCCAGGGCAGGGGCAGAGTCACCCTGGCACTGACCAGCACAGGGAGCCAACTAGTCCTGCCAGTCCAGGCCTTCATGTCAACAGCACCACCAGCAGCTCTTAAAGGAAAGGAGCTTTAAAGGTAAGAGAGAGTAAAGGACTGTGTGAGGCTGGAGAACTGTGGGTGCAGGCCAGGCAGAGGGAAAAGGAAGATAAAAGACCTTGCTGACAAATACAGAAGCAAAGCAGGCCAAAATATTATCAAAAATGAGGATGCAAAATGACCAGAGATGCCAAGTGGAGTGAAAGAAGGGCCAGACACTGAAGAGATCTGGCTATGGGATGATCTCAGTTTCAAAAACACCAGCTAAACAAGCACTCCAGCACTTCCAACTCCTACCCTCCCTTCCACGTGCCACAGAAAGGTGTGTGTGGTGTCTACAGCACAGGAAGGGAGAGGCAAGTGTTCCACCAAACCCTGTGCTTGGGGAAGGAGGGAAGCAGCAAACCCAGCACAAAGGGGAAATTCTGCTCCTTCAGTCCGTAAGGTTGGGCTCCTAAAGGGTTATATTCATCCTGTGTTTCTTCTGACACTTGAAACAGTTCAAAGCTATTAATTTTTAAAGCACAGCATCTGTTTAGCTTTTTCATAACAGGAAAGCTTACACACCACACACTCACTTACATGCAGACACACGGGCACATTTACATGCACAGACTCAGGTACATCAACACCCCTCTGAATTTACATGAACGTACCCACAATTTCCATGCACACAAACAGACACAAACACACCTGAAACAGGAAAACTCAGACCACCTCATCGCACTGATATGCAAAGCCCAACTCCTAAATTGTCCATACAGGCCCTGTAGATTCATTTGCCCAAGAACAACACATTCCCTCTTCCCTCACTTTACTTTTTTTTTTTTTTTTTGGCCAGAAAGAACTAGTCTTGATCTGGCAAGAGTTGATAAATAAATAATAATAAAAATAATAAATAAAGAAGTCAGCATGCTTAGAGAGTGTTTACAGACTCATTACTCTGTAACGATGATATGAAAGAAAAAAAAAAAAATCCACCCCAATTACAAGGGGGGAGGAAACCCACACAGAAATAAATATTTAAGCAAGTGCTGCCAGAAGCACCATCTGCTGAGGCACTAATAATAATAATAATAATTTTTTCTGTGGTCTTTTTTTTTTAATTATAAATATACAGAGGGGGGAGGCAGGGGGAAAAACAACCCAACCCAAACTAGCTAAGTAAGAGGTTTTGTTTTGTTGTGTGAGAGAATGGATTATCCCTGGGCAGCTTTTGGCAGTGGCTTTGGCAAACTCATTAAGCTAATTATGCAGTACAGACATAAGAGTGTCGTGTCTCTCTCCCCCCACCCCTTGATTTTAAGGCTTTAAACTGTTTTTAAAAATGTGTGTAAATTGAAGGGAAGTGGCTGTGCTGCCAACGGGCGGCTTGCGGAGCCTTTTAAGCAGGATGTGGTGTCCCTGAGGTATCTCACGAGCCTCCCCCAGCTACTGCCTGACCCAGGGGAGGGGGCTTGCAGAGCACCAAGAGCACTGGATGTGGCTCTAGTGTTTATTTACACAGTTCTCTGCTAGAGAGGGGAACAGGGGACAGAAGGGTGCCACCTCCTCTCCCACTGCAACCCCTGCAATTCCTGCAATCTCAGAAATGCTCCTTCTGCCCCATGCAAGGAGAGGTTTAAATCCCTGCTTTCCTTCCCATACTCTCTCCCAAGGCAGTGAGTTGCCACATGCTTGAGGAGCTGCATGTGGTGGTGCAACTGCCCTCTCTTCCCATGGGGTCTTCTGCTTCCTCCTTCTGTATCTGGGATTTGGGCAAAAGAGGAAAGGAAATCACCTCCTGTTCCACTCTTCAGCTAAGGGAGAGAGAGTGCTGTTCCAGTTCTCCTGATGTGCCAAGATCTCCCCCTGTACCCTCCTAGCAGCTGACTGTCTCCCACGGGGAGACTCTCTGTAGACTCTGGCAAGGTGGGAAAGCACAATACACATTCCCCTCCCCTCTTGTTAATAAGTGCTGGTGGGAGCAAACCCCTCAGCTTTATTTCTGGAGAGAAGTGTTTGCTTGTTTCCCTGACTGGTGTCTGTCCGGGTACAAGGGGCTTCCTTGTGAGCTTTTTTCACAGTACAGATGGAGGATTCAACAGGCCTAGGGCAAAGGCTGATGGACCCTTTACACCAGGAGCTCTGAACCAGGCAGGTGCTGTGCAGTAATCTCCTCTGTCCCTCTGGCTCTCATGGCATTGCTCACTCTGTCTCCCCACAACCACCCTGGGCTCCCTCTCAGCATTGCTCAGTCCTGACCTAAGCTCTCCCACAGCTGGGATAAGGTGCCCTACTCTGCACCTGATTCAGGGAAGGTTTCTCATACAAATGAGCTGCAAAATTTTCTAGGATAAAAATCTCACGTTGATGCCAAAAGCTGCCTAAACTCAGGTCACTCGTGGATGCCTCCAGCCTAGATTCTCAGAAGTGAGATGTTCTCTGCTTGCCTCCTGCAGGCACTGGACACAGCAGGGGAAAAAGGCTGGAGACAGTACAGCAATGGGCAGAAAGAACAACAGTCAAGAGGCAGCATTCCCATTTAAATCCTGGGCTTCTGCAGTGAAACAGTTTTCCACTATTTGTCACGAAGTCTAACAGCTCTGGGGAGTTGAGCATGCTCTTGGCATGCTTGAACACCTCTCACAGCTACTGCTCTCCCAAGCAGGGCAGCAGAACAAGTACAGCTGCCAAGGGAAATGGAAGTGCCAGTGACTGGTTTAAACACTTGATCCAGATGGACAAAACTTCGTCTCTCCCACCACCAGTCCACCCTCTTACATCCAGCCCTCTCCCCAAGAAAGTCAAAAGTTTTGCCTACCTGGCAATATACTTCTGGTAAATATTTACATCTTCGCTGACGGCTGGTTTGTCAGTGGGTAATCCATTCCTAAGGAGAAACACACAGGGCAGAGCTGGTTAGCAGGGACAGGGCACTGCCTAAACTCCACACACCACTGACACACCAGGAGAGAGTGCCCAGGGAGGAGCACCAGAAAAGACATCCATAGGTTTAACCTCCCTTCCCCTTTCCCTTCCAATCCTGTACCTCCTTCTCCAGGGAACCACACAGTCAGCCTACCACCCCTCCTGCATGTTCCTTCTTTGCAGGACCCAGTGCAGTTTGTTGGAGAAATCAAGATCAACCACAAAACGCTGTTTCTACAGAAAAAACTAAAAATCCCTACGCAAACAAGAGATGGCCACATGAAAACACCTGAAAGCACCTGGCAACGCTGCCCTTGTGTGCACGGTTCAACTGAGGGAGAAGAGTTGTGAGCTCCTGCCCATTTCCTGTGGCCAGGAGACACCCTGCGCTGTGACCAGCACTGGAACCATGGCTCCAGCCCCTGACAGGGCTTCAACTGCCTCTCTGTTTCACAGACACCCCAAAACTCCAACAGACAGATGGAGCAGCAAAGGTATTTACGTACTTTAATCAATGAGAAAGCCAACCCAACTGTCACATAAGCCTGGGTTATTTTACATCATTAGTAAGCAGACAAAAATAACATCCTCAGTGAGTTCAGCAAGAGAGAAAACGAGATACAGGGCCAGGCTCCAGCCTACCCAAGAGGCAGGGGCATACCAAGGCCACCCCAGACAGGCTGTACACCATCTCCCTTCTCCTCCAGTGCTCCTCGTGACAGCCCGGTTTAAACAAGGACACTTTCGCACAGAGTTCACTGGAAGGTAGATTAGTTCAGGGCAGGTTAATAGCATTAGATGTCAGAGAGTTTAAACCCATGGCAAGGGGGTATGTGCATATGTGTGAGAGTAAGGGGTAACTCCTGCCAGGTCATTTGAACCAAGTGGGCACTGAGAATGGACAGCCAGGGCCCAGATACCACAGTCAGTACTTCCTCCACCAGCTCAACTAATGGGATGGGCTGCTGTCTTTTATCATGGAAGCCTGTATCTGGAAATTAGCCTGAAGGGGAAGGGCCCAGAGCCCCTTCTGTACTCCAGTGTGTGATCGGGACATGGCAAGTGCCAGGCTGAAGGCCCTGGTCACCTCCACCCCTGCTGAAGCCCCATGTGGCCCCCTGTGGCCAGAGCAGGGATCACCATGGTGCTGCAAACCCACATTTGCAAGAGGCAGGAAATGAGCAAGAGAAAGGAAATCAAACTGGGATCCCAGTGCATCACCACCGCAGATAAGAGGCTCGCAGCCCCTCAGGCACAGCTCTAGGATGGCCACTGAACTCCAGGCAGCTGAGCTTTCTGAAGACACTTCAGGCACAGAGTCCCTGGCCAAGTCACCCATCACAACAAGGCACTGTGCCTACAGGAATATTTACAACAGTGTTTTTTAGTAACAGGAGTCCCTGCCTGCCATCTGGAGCACATACAGGTTCATCCTGAGCGGGAGCCAGATGCAAATGTTAATAATCCTCTGCCCTTTCCCATACACCTTAACCATGGAGTTCCCAAATCTGTCTGCAGGCACTTGATAAACGACTGTTTCACATGGAAGACAGGTGTCATTACACAGCTCTGCCTTCCAGGTGGGGAAACATGGAAAGTGGGGAATGCACACTTGCTTGGGACTGCAAAGAGGATTCAGCCCAAGGCCTCCTAGGTCCATATGTCAAACACAGAACAGACTTCCTCCTTATCAGAAGGCAAAGTAGAAGGGGGTGTGTGATGGCACTTGCCACAGAAGTGCAGGACAGAGGTCCTGGACTTATTACAAATGACCCCATGAGATTCACAGCTCACAGCAGCCCCAGGTCCACAGTGAGAAACAAGTAAATCCAAACCATGACAAGAAAGCAGAGAAGTCCCTCCTCCCTCTCTTTGCAGCCTGACGTACATATGTATCTCTTCTACAGCTCCCACCTCTGGAAGCCACATTTAAAACGTAATCCAAGGTTTGGCAAGGCCTTCAGATATGTCCATTGAGTCATGGCATCGCTGCAGAGATTGCTGGCAACGTGTGTGTAGGAGGCTATTAGTGGTAATTGGGCTAATGAGTTTGCCCAGTCTGAGGGGTAATTGAATCACCTCTATTTGTGTATGGAACAAGAAAATTGAGAAGATACAGGCCTGGCCCCACAGAAGTATGTATATGGTTAACTCCCATGAAAATTGATGGGAATTAGGCACCAAAATGTCTTCTGAGTTCTGGGACAAACCAGCCCATCTTGCCCCATCTTGCTAACAGTGAAGTCAGCAGAGTCTTGCCATTGAGTTAAATGGAAGCAAGAATCAGGTTCTCCTACAGACACATCTGGATGTCCAGGGAACTGGAGGAAGGAGAAAGTAAAGCAGTTCCAACCTTGACCTTAGAGTGCTGACAGCACCATGTTCCCCCCTCTTTCATTGTAACATATGGACTTAGGAGCCAGTGGACTCTGGATTCATGGCTGTGACTGCTGATGGCAGATCACATCCTCAGTGCAAATAAGATAGAGACGTAGGGTGTTAACAGAGAAGACACTTCAGCAGAGAGCAAAAATTACACAGAGTAATTATCATCCCAGGAACTGGGACTGCCCACTGACCCACACACAGACTTCAGTATGAGCCCCCACTAGTACACAGATAAGAAAAGTAGGAGGACACTTACTTTACTGTAGAGACTGTTCCAGTTGTGATGGAGTCTGTCTTGGAGAAGGTTGATTTCAGGTACTCAGGAGTGTTGAATGGCAATGAGACGGACTGTTCTGGCCCGGCCACGGGAGTGCTGCTGGGGGTGCTGGCGAGGGGAGCAGGGGCCAGGCTGGGAGCTGGAGCTTTTACTGGAGTGAGCTTCTGAATGTTCCTCACATCATACTTGGAAGGCCGGCCTACCTTGCCCGTCTTGAAGGCGATGGCTCCTCCCATATCTGGGCTTCCTTCTCCAGGCTTGAAAAGGTGCAAGTACTTGACGTTTTCTAGGTCATACTTGGAGGCCTTCTTGTACGTGTTGCCGTTTTGTGGCCTGATGCTCTCACCCGTCTTCAGCTTCTGAATGAAGAAGTCGTACTTGGAGGCCCGTGACATCAGGCCCTGCATCTGGGAGCTGCTGGGAGAGGGCAGCGGCAGGATGGTGGCTTTGGTCTCCGTCAGCAGGGAGGCGTCTGGACCTGGCACCCGAATGGGCTGCGCCAGCACCGAGGAAGGTTCTTTGCCCAGCTTGGGGCCCAGCTCCTCGGACTTGGCCAAGTGCATGGGCCACGAGAGCTGCTCCCCGGCCTTCAGCTTGCGGATGTACTCCTCGTACTTGGAGAAGCGGGCGCGTTTGCTCATGGCGTCCTCGCCGGGCAGCGTGGCGGCGGCGGCGGCCTCTGAGGTAGCGGCGTTCAGCTTGTCGAAGCTGATCTTGCGGGCCAGCTCGTCCCGCATGTTCTGGTCGTCGTAGCCGAACATGCCCAGGAACTCGTTCATGGTGGTGGCGGCGTAATCCTGCAGCGACGACGCTTCCCCTGCGGAGAACCCGCGGCACGGAGTCAGGCACGGCGCTGGATTTCCCTCTCCTCCCATACCAGCTCCAGTAGCGGGGACGGGGGGAGGAAGGGGAGAGGGGAACATGATCTACTGACGTTTGGCTCACTTGTTAGGTTTTACGACTCTTAAATTAATTTGTTTAAAAAAAAAAAAAGTAATTAATACTGGGGTAAAATAAAAAGAGTTCATCAATGCCAGGAAAATCAATTTCCTAAATGTTCTAGCCGATGGCTTTTCAGTACATTAAACAAAGTTTCATAAATGTCTCTGCACTCTTGCCTTGGCCTAATATGAAGAAAAAGTAATTTTACTGGAAGTGAGACCGATGCCAATATGCCGAGGTTTGTACAGATCTGTCCTTGTGTGTGTTTGTATATGGAAGGAGGGGCACGGAGAATGGTGTGTCTGTGTGTGTAAGGGGGGGACCACGTGAAAATGTTGTGTGTGTTGGACAAGAGCAGGGCTGAGGGCAGGCAGGGCAGCGTGGTGTGAAATGGTAAGGGACAGGCAAGGCAATGTATGGGGTGGAGCAGGAGGACGGCAGAATGGAATCCTGCAGAGCAGAAGGGAAGCAGCAGAGGTGGACATGAATTAAGGCAGGGGAAGAGCAACAAAGGCTGTGCATGAGAAGCTTGGGAGTGAGGAGTGGGGAGAGGGGAATGGAGAAGACAAGGCAAGACAAAGACAGGACAGCTCCCCACAGCTGCTGCAGTCCTTCCCTTCCCTGTCCATTTTGTAAGGGTTCACACAACTTGCTCCCTTCTTTCTCAATCCCAATGACTGGGCAGCTTTCCATGTGCAAAGGGGCCGCAGCAAGGGCTGTGAAAACCCACAGGCAGGCTCCTGAGCAGCCAGGAACAGCTTCCAGTAAGACCAGGAAAGGGGAAAGTCCATACAGGTGAAAAACAGGTAAGGAACAGCGTTCTCTCCATCAGGATTTGGAGCGAGGAGAGAAAGAGCTGTTGTCCCGGGCCTCGGAAAGGGGGAGAATGTCTGTTCTCTGGAGTGTGGGTTGGGGAAGGGGCAGGAAGGGGTTAGTCTACCTGAGCCTGAGATCACAGGGTGGAAGAATGAGCAAAAGCTGTCCTTCCTTGGGTCTCTCCCTCCCTTCCTCCCTCCCCTACTCCCTCAGGCAGTTTCGCAGGCCACCGCGATGGGAAGAACACACATCTGGAGGTCACCCAATATCAGTGTAAAGGAGGAAATAAAGATTGCTCTGACGTGCCAGCTTGGACTCATTTAGGCTTCAGTCTGACACAGCGCTCCTCCTCCTCTCCCTCTTGCTTTCTCCTGCAGAGTAAAGATTTACTGTGTGCAGGAGTCCTTCAAACCTCCCTCGTCATCTTTTCCAAACACTCACACTGGCTCTCGTGGGCAGGCACACTCCTTCCCAGGGAGCCAGCACAGGCAAAGTGCAGAATGGAGGTTTTAGGCACTGGGTCCTGCTCAAACCAAACCAACACTGCCTTGAAATAGAGGAAAAGGAAAGCACCAAGACAGCCACAGAACAGGTCAGCAGATCCAAAAGATCCATAGGATCTGGGGGACCTGACAGCCAGGTAGGCACATCCACCAGAGCATTTCCACACACACAAGAGCCTGTCAATGAGCACAGTCGAAGTCCAATAGCCATCAGCACCACAGATCAGTTTGCACAGGACTCTGCAGAGGAAGAGACTGACTGCAACGGGCACGGAATGGGCAGGACCATGAAGGTCACATTCCTGCTCCAGGACTGCCCGGAATGGCTGTGCTGCTGCAGCACAAGTGCTGCTGTGCTGGGGCCTGTCTACGTGGTACTGGAGGGAAGGCAACAGTGAACAACATCCCTGGAGCCCGTGAGGGGAAGGACAAAGCCACACCTGCTAAGTGCTGGAATCTGGCTTAGCCCCAAACGACCTTCCAGTTCTGGGCACTTAAGCCCAGCATTCTGCGTGGGATTTGGGATGCCTGACTCCAAAATAAACACCATGTTAGCCACAGGATGAGTGGCAATGCCCCTGCAGTGTCAGGCTCCGGCTGTAGCACAACCTCATGGGTTGGTATTAATCAAATGCAGAAACATGCCCACAGTGTCCAGTAACAAGGCCTGCCTGAAGGACAACTTTATCTTTCACACACAGGCATATTAAATGATTTCATCCTGCTGTAAAGCAGTTCTCCTTTTTACCTCTTTTTCCTCTCTTCCCTACCTCAATTTCAGTGTAACCCTATGACCCAACAAAAGTGAATAAACCCATGAAATCCCTACTGGGTCTAACACTTCCCTGTTTCTGTTAAATCTGCTTTCCCTGTTCTGCTTTTCCCCTGTTTTTGGACCAGTAAAACAACTCCCAGCCCCACTCATAATTCCCTGACTTCGAGCACTGCACAGAAAACCTCCAGCCAGCCTGTGCCAAACTGCAAGGGGAGAAAGAATAGCACAGAGGGGCTCTGATATGAAATTAAACTATTAAGTGTGATTTTTACTAGCTTTAACAGCTGCAATGAAAGTCAGTCAGTGGGTCTCGTCTTTAGTACCATGTGGCTACACCTGAATTGGTGCAATTAGATGCAAACCCCAAACCTATAGGAAAGCTGGGGGGGGGGGGATCCAGACCTTTTTTTGAGGTATATTTTGGTACATTTGAGGTACATTTGACTTTGTCCTTTGCAAAGTCTGAGTTGGAGTTCAGGTTTCACTATCCTGGATTTAATTCCCCAAACCACCTTGCATTCTGCTTTTCCTTTGCCCAGATTTGGTTCCAGACGATCGCAACACCCTCCCTGATCAACAGCTTTGCTGGTGCTGCTCACTCTTTCCTCATCCAGATTTGAGATGAAAGCCTGGCCAGCTCCCACTGCTCACTGCCTGGGAAGTGCAGCTTCTTTCAGAATCACAGAATCATTCAGATTGGAAAATACCTCTAGAATCACTCATCCCGTGAGCCCAACACATCCCCTAAAGTCAAGGGGGTCACTTGATAGCTCAGGCACCCAACCTGAAGGGTGGAGGCTCTTCTAGTGGAGGCACCTTAAGGCAGGGAGTGGGCTCACCAGGAGCAGGGTATGAGACCCAGCCAACTCACTTCATGTGCATTTTCAACCAGCAGTGAAGAGCTAATTATCATTACCTCATCATCAGAAACCCCCCCTCACACCCACACACAGATAAAACCGAGGCAGGACAGAAGTTGGGAAACACATCCCTGTGAGGAGTGCACAGCCCTGGAGGCCTCAGGAAGCACTGTCCCTGTGTTTTCCTCCCCCTTCCCTGCACTGCATTTTTGTCTCCTTTCCTATGTGATAATAAAAGGGCTCCCTCTCCCCTTGCCGCTGCTCTCCATTTGTGGGCATTGCCAAAGAGCAGAGATCTGTGTGTCTCAGAGCAGCTATCGTATCACAAAGGATCCCAAGCTAGCAAAAAAGGCGCTAAAAATAGCCTGCAGCAGCACACTATATATGGAAGGAAAAGCAAAACAGCCCAAATGGAGTGCAAGGTCTGGATACTGGGGGATGGGACATCCCAGCCAGGGCGCTGTCCTTTATTCTGCTTGGGAGGGAAAACACGCAGACTTGGGGGATACAGGATGATGAGCAAGGAACTGGCACTCGTCATTCACGTTCTCCCAAGTGGAGTCTCCTCAGGAAATTATGAAGAGAAAACCCCCCTGGTTAAAAACAGGGCCATAGAATATTCCAAGAGACTTAGCCAAGAGGCTAAGAAAAGAAAGGCAAGTCTGAAAGCTTGTACAGGGGGACGCTCCTGGTGACTACTTTAGCCCACTATGTAACAGGCAAAGTAAGGAACACGGGACTGTGTAGGAAAATCTCCCTGGGCATGTGCGTCAGGGAGGGACTGTGGAGAGGGATCTCTGTCACTGACTGCACAGAGAGAGCTCGGTGCTATATATAAATGTGCTCAGGGCAGTATGGACCCATCAGTGGGCAGGAGAGGGTGCATGAATGAATGAAGAAACATATCTGCACGTCCAGATCGGCTTCTGACACCCATCTCCTGACAGACACCAGCTTTGTGGCTCCTGAATGTGATTCCCAGCTGGACCAGGGAGGAGATGCACACGGCAAGACTGAGCCCTGACTCCCGAGTTCCTCGTTTCCAAGGGGAGGCTCAAAAAGAAACATGCCCTACATGCACGTTCTCCATCTTGTTGCAAAGCATGAGGCTTGAACAGCATGGACTTAGTCCCTCGTGCACAACAAGCCTCACAGTCTGAGCCTGGAAAGAGACAAAGGTGGCCAGGATTTGTCATCAGACCACAGGAGGTGCTGGTGGAGGACACAGGCAGTAGCTGAAGTCCCATAAAGTGGACAATGTGTGTACACACCACAGCTCCAGGAAGCAGGAATCCTCAGCCCCATATAATTAGGATCACTTTCTTCACTGACCAAGAAAGCCATTAGATGTAGGGTTTGGTTTTCTGTGTGGCTCCTGCTTTTAACCCAAGCGTCCAGCTGATCAAAGCGTGGGCTCAGTTTTAAATGCTGCTGAGCACAGCCAGCCCTGTACCCTCTATGTCCTCAGAGGGAGCAACTAGTGCTCAGAACCTTCAAAACCAGGTTTCTGCAATGACTCCCCAAAAGCCACACTGACTGGGAGGGTAGAGCTGTATTCCTCTCCTTTCATCTGACTCCTGCTACCCTCCAACTCCCAGGAAAAAAGCCTCCTTTTTGGCACAGGTAGTTCCAGATCTCATTGGAATAAGCTTAACTTGCACCCAGTACCACCAGGTCTGAGAGGACTTGGTGACGAACAGTTTAAAATTAATTTCCTGAACACTGACAGAATAAAAAAAGGAAAATAGGTTTGTCCTTTCCAAAGCAAGGGATGTTTCAGTTTGTGCTTTTCAGGGAAATGTTGCAAATGACATTTATAACAGGGTTCTCGCAACAGACGCTCAGACGTGGCAGCACGTCTGTTTGCAAGTCAAATCCCACGTGGCTGTAAATGTAAACTGGACCCCGCGTGTGCCATTACCTGCCTTAGACAGAAATGAGGCTTCAGCCCCCCCTGAACACTTACACGTTTTTGCATAATCCCTTGACAACACAGTCCTGCAAAGGCATTTAACTGAGATCTCCTACCCCAGTAAGAAACCTCAGCTCCTTTTCATTTTCCCCAGTTTGGCAACATTTTTTTTACATTTAAGTTCCCCTCCTTTTAGTTTCCATAGCGAATAAAAGCTGCAAACGGCGGCGGGGGGGGGTGGTGGTGGTGGTGCTAGTGTGAATTAAAACAAACTAAAAACAGAGTCCAGGCACAATCACCTTGTGTCTGGGAACGACAAGGGCTTTCCTATCAAAGGAAACTGAAGGTCACACTTTTCCTCATTGATCTTGCAATGTTTGTTAATTACTCTGTCACTGATGTGGCGAAGGATAATTAAACAGCTCTGTTTATATCTTATATGCATAATTATGTGCGCTGCCACTGAACTCGTGAAGACTAGAGAATGTGCCTCTCCAGAAGGGGAACGGACAGACGGAGATGAGTTTCGGCTGCATTATTAACAGGAGGAGGAAAACACGCGCGCACACAAAAGCAGGAAAGTTTGATGGATTCACAAAGTGCTGAGATCAGGGGAGGGGTGCGTGCAGGTGGAGCAGATTAGGGGGAGATCTTTCAATTACAGATTCAGCCCAGCTGAGTGACAAATTGGGGGAGGGAGCTGCTCTGCCCTAATAGAGAGAATTCAATTTACCCAAAGCTTTTACCAAGACTTAGCACTCATACTGCCCCCCAAATCAATCTGGGGGGAACATGTGCATCATAAAGGGAGCACAAAATTCCTCTGGGGCTTTTCCCAACACTTCTTGCTGAATTCAGCTTTTGAATGAACCACAAAAATAAGGCAGAAGCTAAGTGAAAATAGGAAATGCACACACAGGCTGGGGAGAACACCTTGTACCTGCACACGAGTTGGTGTCCAGGACGGAGCTGGTGGGGGACACTGAGCTTTGGGACCAGCAGCTGCACCAGCCTGATCCCGAGCTCAGGGTGGGCAGAGCTTGAGGACTGGCCCCTCACGAGGGGGGCAAGGCCACAGCGAGCGTCACCTCAGCCCCTCCGGCCGGGGAGGGAACGAGAAGGGATGGCTCTGCAGGGACACCGAGAAGGGATGGCTCTGCAGGGACACCCAGGAGGGATGGCTCTGCAGGGACACCCAGGAGGGATGGCTCTGCAGGGACACCCAGGAGGGATGGCTCTGCAGGGACACCCAGGAGGGGCGGTGTCGCTGTCACAGCGCTGATGCCCGGCTCCCGCAGGAGCGGGATCGGCACCGGGGGCCGGGAAGGGGCGACCCTGCCGCAGCTCCCGGAGCTCCCCGGCCTGTCCCGGGTCCCGCGGTCAGTGCCGGTCCCGCGGTGTGTCCCCGCTGATGGAGGGGCCGTGAGTGTGGTCACACAACCCACCACCCGCGTGGGGACACCCTGTGAATCCACACGGGATCTGCCACGAGGGCTTTCTCTGCTTTCCTTCCCTCATGTGGGAATGCATGAGGAGGAAATCAGCACTCACCGCAGCTGTGGCCGTGCGAGGGGTGTGCAGGAGTCTGAGGGGGAGATCTGCTCTACCTAGGGATCTGTGGTCTGGAATGATCCATCCAGCCACGTCCACCCTCACAACACCCCTCTTGGTATGGGGAGGCTGAGCCAGAGACAAACTCCATATGGTCCCAAGAGCAAAATGCCAGGCCTCTGTGAGGGAATCGGGGCTCTCACTCTCCCCCCTTGGCTGCCCGGTGCTGCAGCCTGGGCACGGACACCCAGAAAACGTGACCGTGTGGGGAGGTGGAGGGGATGGAGGGCTTACCTGAGGTGGTTCCTGCTCCCAGCTTGGAGCCTGGCTCGCCACTGGAGGACCGGTAGGCATCATCCTTCAAGGCTGGCCCGTCTGAATCCCTGTCATCCAAGAAGTTGCCATCCTGCAAGCTCCTCAGAGCGTCTGCCTCGTCCCCATTATCTTCCTCGTCGCTGCAGCCCTTGGGCTGCACCATGTAAACCCCTTCTGGGGGCACCTCCGCGCTCTCGGCGCCCTTACATTCCTTGCCCTCCACTCGCCCCAGCAAGGGCTCCTCGTTGTACTCCCCATTCACCCACTTCTCAATCACCTCCCTCCTTTTGTCCTCCTCGATCTTCTGCACGCGGCTGAGTCCATCTGAGAACTCTGTCCCCAGCTCCTTGGTGCCGGGCTGAGGCAGGTCCTTGTTGCCGCTGTCCCGCTGCGGCCCCTTGTCGGCGCGCGCCTGCTCGGCTCCCCCGTGGTCGAAGACGACCTGGCGGCTCAGCTTGGCACAGATGGCATTTAGCTTCAGGCCGCCTTTGCGCTTGGCAGCCATTGTGGGTTTTCCTGAGGCTGCGTCAGTGCATATAGTTCTTTCAGCTGGAAAGAGAGAGGGGAAAGAAGCAAGGAAGGGCATTAGTGGGATCAGACAACTTGAACCCAAACAGCAGACGGCTGGTGACAACCCAATGGGTGTTCAGGGATGGCCAGTGTCATCCTTGGAATGGAGCTGCCACGTGTTTCCTAAGCTCCAAGCAAAAGCCCAGCCAGGAGAGCTCGGTGAGAAGCAGGCTCTGAACCTGCTGGGACCAAAGGATGCCACTAGCCTCAAGAAAGAGATGTGTATGTATGCTGGGGTAGAACTGGGCTCAAAAGGCCCCAAACACCTCAGGTACAGACCAGCCTTTGCTCATGGCTGAGGCAGGATATGAGGTCTGTTAAAAGCCCAACTCACTCTCTCCTTCAGACTGCAGCATCACTTCCTTTAGGTCCCCAGCTCCATTCCAGATGTGCTGGGTGCCAAACCCACACCAGCCAGTGACTGCACCCAAGCACCTCCAGCAGGGAGAACAGCTCGCCAAGCCCACCCTAGTGAGGGTTTCACCTAATGGCATTTGTGCTCGGTCTCAGGAAAGAGAACCAGTATGCACCAGAAAGAACCAGTATGGAGAACAGGAGCCCCGGCAAGAGCAGGTGCTGGAGCACCAGACTGGGGTGTGACAGCTGTAGAGGAGAGAATCGTTGTGGGTTGGTATCGGCTGATCAGGCCCCTTTGCCTGCTCGCTCTCACCCACAGGAAATTCTGCTCTCATACTTCCCAGCACAATCAGCTAATTAGTGTGAGTTTGTTATTTTAATGTAGTTTATTCATATGTGACAGCTAGTAAAGGAGGGGTAAGAGAAGGTGGGGGGAGAGATGAAGAAGGTAAGGTCTTAACTTCAAGGTCACGGAGAATCTTGAACTAAATGGTCCCTATCAGAGTCACTTGCATGATTATTGCACCAACAATTAACAAGATTCAATCGCAAATAAAAGCAAAAAACTGATTCTAAAGCAGGTGCATTGTCTCATTTCCCTCTTTACATATGACACTGCTGAGAGATGCCCAGACTAAGCAGGGTTAAAGGTCCCAGGGCTGCAGTGGGCACACAGCCTGGCTCTTCCCCCAGCGCAGAGCCGGGGCAAACCCTGCCCTGTCCCAGGACTCAGGAAGAGCACCCAATAAAACAGTTGCTGGTCACACGCACCACTGGAGTTACTGTGGGAATGTTGCTGGAGGTCCCTCCAAAATGGGCTCTTGGATTTCATGTCATGCTGAAAGAGGGGTTAGTCACATGGAGAGCAAACAGAACCTGTCTCCAGATCTCGAATGGTGAGACACCACTGCACAGGAGTCCCTTGTGGCAGCTCAGCCCACACCTCCCTGTCACCAGCACAGAGGTGCTGCTGCACAGAAGCACAGTGAGATTAATCAGACCCCCTACAATGCATCCAGAAGCCACCGTGACAGCCCCTAATCCCGTAACATGACAGCCCAATACAAACAGACTGAAACTTTAGACCTGCTGTCCAAGAGCCAGAGAGTGGCTGCTTAGCGTAAACTCCTGACAGCTTCAGACACGCTTCCCTGTCAGAGACCGCAAGAAAAATAACCCCCCGACAAATATATCAGCCCCCCACACAAAGGGAGGCAAAATGTACTCCTCCACTTTCCCAAGGCACCCCCGGCACTAACACCTACGTGCAATCATGCTTTCACGACGGGAAAGCACACGGTGCCCCCAGACACGTCCCTCCCCATCCAGAAATTATAGCTGTTCAGGAGCTGTGTGTATGCGCTGGCACGCTCCACCAGCGGAGTCCTACACGCACAGGTTAAGAAGTCCCATCTCCCCAAAATACATTCCTGTGCATTCCCCCACGCATTCCCCTCTCGCACATTCCCAGCACAGCGCGCAGCCCTCGCGCATACAGATGGGCACAGGCAGGCGCCCGGGAAGCTGCGACTCTCTGAGTGCTGGCACCTTCCCTTCCCACCGCATTCCCGCTCTATTTAGGGCAGAAAGCGCGGGCCGATCCTGCGCGCAACTGGTACCACAGAGGGAATCTCGGGAGGCTGCTGTGAGCTCCAGCTGGAGCCTGGCCAGGACACCAGCGGAGCCCCGGCGGTGCGGGTGGTGGGGACGGTGCTGCCGGGCCGTGCGGGGCCTGCCCGGGGCCGGGGCACTGGGTCAGCACGGAATCACCAGCCTCTCTCCTCAACTGCCCGGTGATTCCCCGTCCACGTTCTCACGACACCCGGCCCTGCTTAACTGGTGAGATCAGCACCGCTCGCAGCTGGAGATAACTGGGAGGCAGACACGCGGCAGCCCGAACCCCCGCTGCCCTCCCCCTTCCTGCCAGGAGGGCAGGTCCCATTATTCTGGTCTGGAGGTGAGCAGCCAAGTGTGTGCACCAGCCGGCAAATGAATATATAAATATTTATTCAAAGGAAGAGAGGAACAGACGTTCCCGAGGCTGCACTTGCCGCGTACGCAGCAACTCCAGGGAGCCTGCAACTTGTCTTCCACTCCTGTTCTGCCTCCTTCCATCACACACACCCTGGCTTTGCCCCTCTGCCTCCCCAGCCTCTCCCCCCCAGCTCCTGCCCTGCCCTTGGCATCTTTCCTGTCCCTTCTCCTTGTGTTTGGGACTTTTTATCATTTTGAGAATATTTTCCTAAAGTTCAAGTTAAAAATAAAGCAAGTTCTGAAAACGTACCATTTCCCTGATCTACAAAATTAATCCTCCCACAGACCTTCCTGGGATGGGATTTGCTGCTGTAATATTGGGGCTCTACACATCTCCATCCCACCTATCCCATATGGCTGGAAATCAGAACTCCCAGCTTCTCCTGCCAACCTTGCAACCACCTCTCCACAAGTCTGGACACATTATTTTATCTTTCCATTGCCTTATTTCCTTGCCTGTGGAATAGGAGGGACATTACCTGTATCAATGTTCCTGTTCCCCTCTTTTAGGCTGTCAGGTTCACCAGCAGAAGGGAAACCCTTCTTACAAAGAAGGGCTGAAGATGGCCATATAGGAGGGGGCCAGGACACCTGTGTTTCCTTCTCTCAGGCAGAGGGAGAGGAGCTGAGCTACAGGATGAGGGACCTTCATACCTGCCCAAGGTCAGGACTGCTGGACCCTCAAAGCCAGGCAGAGGCTCCCTCCCCCCAGGCCGAGCTCCCCACCCCAAATCACCCCTTGTCTCCATTGCACTGTTTAAAGATTCCAGCCTAAGTAAACATCCCCCTTCATTTTCTTCGTCTAAATAGAAATGTTTTGATTTCACATCAATCTGAGGAAGCCGTTTATAACCTGAGCCTGTCACACGGACTTTTCATCTCTGCCCAGGACAAACTCTCCCACATGCTCTATTTACACTGAGCACTTCCTCTGAAAACAATGCCACCGGGAGTTTACTCCTCTTGCCCCCTCCCCACACCCTGTGAGGAGACACCGGCTGCCCCCGCTCTGCACCCACCCCTGTGGCATCTTGGAAGGGAAGGTACAGCTTCTCCCTTGGAAGGGAAGGTACAGCTTCTGCAACCACAGCTGGCAAGGAGGAGGACAAAACTCACCATTTCACTGCCTTGTCACCCCTTGACCTTTCTGCTCCCACTGCCCCCCGGTCACCATATGCTGCCAGCACCCCACATACAGCCCCCAGCTCTCTCCCTCCACATAGCCCCCAAAGCAGCACCCTCTCACTCATGAACTCCACTGTGAGGTGCTGCCGAGGTGGGCATGGCTTGGCCCTGTCTCCCCCAAGGGAGAAAAAGGGGCTCTGGGAGCACACTGTGTGCAGGAATGAAAGGATTGCAGCCCAGACAGAAATAGGCCATCCCAGCCACTGGGCAAACTGCTGCAGAGAGAAGTCTGGCTTTGCAAGAAGAGGAGGAAAGAGTTCAACTCTGCCTTTAGCTTGGGGTCAACAAAAACACACCCTGGTTGAGGGGAGAAAGGGTCTCAGCTGTGAAAAAGGGGCGTGTGGGAGCTGGATGAAGCAGCTGGCATGGGTGGAGGGTAACAGCAGAGCTTACTGGTGTGGGAAGAGCCAGGGGTGCAGGGGGGACCCCTGTGATGGGGCAGGGGCTGAGGAGGGGCAGGAGGGGAGGGGCAGGAGGGCCCAGGCTGGGGGGGGGAGAGGGATGCTGGCTGGGGAGGGACAGCGTTGTCACTTCAGAGGGCCGGGTACGTGGAACAGATGGAGCTTTCATATTCCTATTGAAGAGTTTTAAGCCCAGCTGAGCAGCTCCGTTCAAGAGGGAGGTCCCAGTGCCAGCTTTCCAGGAGCTGCAAGCTCTCATTCGATTAATTATTAACGGCATTATTTGGGGCGGGGAGGGGGAGGAAAGGAGGGCCGACATGCTGCACAGTCCTCTGCTTTTTAACCACTGTGCTGCAAGCTCGACTGGAGAGGCTCCAGTCAGCCCAGCAGCCCCAAACAGGGGCAGCACGGCTCGCTGGGGTGAGGATGCTGCACACTGGAGCCTCTTCACACTTGAGCTGAGGTCCCTAAAATGGAGCCAAACCTTCACAGCAGAAGGCCACTGGGGCATTGGGAACACGCTTCCCAGGAGCAGTGCCCTGGTGCTGCCCAGCCACATGCCGGGAGGAGGCAGGGCAGGCAGCCAAACGCTCAGCCCCTTCCAGAAAACACTTCCCCTCCAGCACGAAGACTGGTGCATTACCCCAGGCAGGGCCAGGGCAAAGGGAGAACATCCCAGGCATGGCCCGCAATGTGTGAGAGTGGATTTAGTGTGTGTATTTTCCCCTCTTCAGTTTATCAATAAAACATTTTATTGCTTTTAGCCCAGGAAATGACCTTGGATTAGTGGATGCTGTCTCTTCTGGCTGACCTTGGGGAGTTCACAAAGGCTCTTTAACAACCTCCTCTGCCCTGCATGGATCCCGCCTGTGTGTGTCTGCGTGGAGCGGGGAAAGCCCTCGGTGTGACAGTGGGACCTGACAGGCTCCAGCTCAGCACTGGGCAGGAGGAGAAGGAGAATCAAAGACGTGGGAGGAGAAACGAAGCGAGCAGCCAGGGTGT